AAGTGAAGTGTGTGATCGTTCAGCTAATCATTAGGCATTCAAGGAAATTCTTAGAGGAAATTCTTAGAGGAAATTCTTAAAGGAAATTCTTAAAGGAAATTCTTAGAGGAAATACTTAGAGGAAATACTTAGAGGAAATGCTTTGAGGAAATACTTGGAGGAAAAACGTTAAGGAAATACTTGGAACAAACACTCAGATGTAATAATTGGAGGAAATATTTAAAACAAATACATAGAGGCAATACTTTGAGAAAATAGTGGGCTGTGCTGATGGCAGTGAACATATATAAACAGACATAAATATATGTATATGGTTGTCTATTCACACATAGGATAGCCATATATAAACATATTATTAGATAACATAAACTTACGAAATCGCATTCGTTCAGCTCCTTTTCGGTATGCAGCAGGCCCGAATGCTTGCGATAGGAAGCAAAGTATTCATCCTCCCACCTAAAGGAAAAGTTGACCCAGTCAAAATAGAACAGCATTAGGAGAAAGTTTGTAGGGCAACACGACCTACCAGCGTATCAGCTTAATGGATGCAAACGATGCATAGCGCGGAAAGTCTAGCTTTCCGCCCACCACGCCCGGGCAGATGGGCTCCTGCAGCACGCGCTGATGCGTCTATTCGTGAAACAAATCAAGAATGGGCATTGTCAGAAACAATGTGTTAACGAGTTTTCCCAAAAGCACTTCTCTCTCGCATTGCGGTCAGTCTGAGCGGGCACCTGATAGAACTCCAAATCACGCTGCAGCAAAATGGGCACGCGGTCCATTAAATTTCCCTCCTCGAGCACTTCCATTCCGACAAATTCGGTTCGCTGCCAAACTGAAGAACTGAAAAACTGCAAAACTGATTAGCCAAAGCCAATCGAGGATATCGAGCAAACAGCGACCAGTGTCGAATTGTTGCCAGGACAACGACTGCAATGCCTGATGGATGATGTAGCGTGAATAATGATAAGAGCACTTTGCAGGTATTTTTAGAGATATTTTAAATTTGATAACCGAAGCGTATATCAGATTTTATTCTACAATTTTTAAATATCAAAGGCTATTTAGTTATAAATGTGCGTATTTTAAATAAATTGCAAATAAGTTTAATTTAAAAATTACCTTTTTATACGTTAGTAATACAAATTATATTAATATTAAATTCCTATATATAAATAAATTTATTTATATTTTTACTTTATTTTGCATATTTTTCTGGAATTTTAGAAGCACCGCATTTTTATAGGCTGTATGTACTAATTAATATAATTAATATATTTTTAGTATTCATTAATTTATGCTAATTAACACATTTTATGCTAATTAAAAAACAGTTAAGCCAAGACTTAATTTAATAAAAAGCGATAGCATGCTATATATTTATATATATATAGTTGTAAGAAAAATCTTAAAATAAAATTTATTTGTATATATATTTCATAATATATATCAAATTATGTTCTACTACAAATTATTATATATTATATTATTATTTATTAAAATAAAAATAAATAATCAATTTTTGCAGCAAGTGTAGTCAATAATACTTCTATAATAGGCTGTTACTTAATCTTATCTGATAAATAAGATCTGTTTTTAAAAAATGTGTAACTGTTTTCAAGCTAACAAGAGAGAGAGAGGGAGCAAGAGAAAGGAAGAGAGAGGGAGATAGAGGTAGAGCCCTATAGATAAGGTTAAGCGTTCGCTCTCCGTATATTCACATACATATACATATATACATAATGTCAATTCAATGCAAGATAAGCCGCCGCTCGGCCGCTCGATCGCTCAGCGGTTCAGTTGATGATTGAGCGGTGCAGGGAGCACATCGACTAGCAGCGGACCTAAGTGGACAACAAAAGTAAGTGGACTCAAGTGCCCGGGATGCAGTGCTAATCAGTGGCCGAGCTCATTGCTGGGGGCGAGCTGTCAGAATATTTTCAGTGCCAGCAACCAGCGACAATTTCACGCTTATCGCTGCGATACGGTGCTCGTATCAGGCGTATCAGCAATCCATAAATCTCACTGCGTTTCTTCTTTGTGTGTTTCTTCTGCTTATTCTTCTTGGCACAGCATAGCATGATCGCAAATCTGAGGCATTTGACGGGCCGCCTGGCGGTGCAGCGTGGCCTGCTGCAGCAGCAGCAGCTGCGCATGGCCTCCTATCTGATCGACCAGCCCGAGTACAGTTTTCTCAAGGATCTCGGACTGGAACGTGACAATCCCGGCGTATATTCTGGCCACTGGCAGGGCCGCGGACAGAGCATCACCAGCTACGATCCTGGCACCGGACAGCCAATTGCCTCAGTGCGTCAGGGCACGGTGCAGGAGCTACATCAGACCATCGGCCTGACCGTCGAGGCCTACAGGCAGTGGCGACAGGTGCCCGCCCCGGTGCGTGGTGAGATCGTGCGTCAGATTGGCGATGAGCTGCGCAAGTACAAAGAGCCACTGGGCAAACTTGTCTCCCTCGAGGTGGGCAAGATCTACAGTGAGGGCCAGGGCGAGGTGCAGGAGTTCATCGACATCTGCGACTATGCTGTCGGCCTGTCGCGCATCTACTCCGGCCAGCTCATCAATTCGGAGCGTGCCCAGCACACCATCTTGGAGGCGTGGCGTCCACTTGGCCTGGTCGGCGTCATATCCGCCTACAACTTCCCCAATGCCGTCTTCGGCTGGAATGCGGCCATCGCTCTGGTCACTGGCAACGGTGTGCTCTGGAAGGGCGCGCCCAGCACTCCGCTTGTGTCCGTGGCCACCACCCGCATTGTGGCCGAGGTGCTGCAGCGCAACAATCTGCCGGCCGTGGTCAGCCTCTGCCAGGGTGGCACCGATGTGGGCGCCGCCCTGGTCGCCGACCAGCGTGTGAATCTCGTCAGCTTCACGGGCAGTTGCCAGACGGGTCGGGATGTCGGTGTGGAGGTGCAGCGCCGCTTTGGCAAGGTTATTCTCGAGCTGGGCGGCAACAATGCTCTGATCATTGACGAGTCGGCCAACATTAAGATGGCCCTGGATGCAGCGCTCTTCGGCTGCATTGGCACCAGCGGACAACGCTGCACCACCACCCGACGCATCATTGTGCACGAAAAGCTCCACGACAGCTTCGTGGAGGCGCTGACGGCCAAGTATGCGCAGCTGCTGCCACGCATTGGCCACCAGCTGGAGCTGCAGACGCTCGTGGGTCCGGTGCACGCCAAACAGAACGTCGACAGCTACAAGGCGACCATCGAGGAGGCCAAGCTGCTGGGCGGCACTGTGGCATTCGGTGGACGAGTCCTGGAGCGTGCTGGGCACTATGTGGAGCCCACAATTATCACGGGACTGCCACACGATGCGCCCGTGGTGCATCGTGAGACCTTTGCGCCGATTGTCTACGTGCTTAAGGCGCGCAATGTGGACGAGGCTGTGGCCTGGAACAACGAGGTCGAGCAGGGCCTCTCCTCGGCCATCTTCACAGAGAACATTGGCCAGGCCTTCAAGTGGATTGGCGCCCAAGGCTCCGACTGCGGCATCGTCAACATCAACACGACCACAAATGGCGCCGAAATCGGCGGCGCCTTTGGCGGCGAGAAGGCAACGGGCGGCGGTCGCGAGTCGGGCTCCGATGCTTGGAAACAGTACTGCAAGCGTGCCACCATCACGGTGAATCACTCGGGCGAACTGGCCTGCGCTCAGGGCGTCGTCTTCAACGTGGAATAAATAAGCTACATCAAATTGAATTTAGTCGAACATTGTTATAGTGATTTGTATTATTAAAGTGTCTATAAACAAAAAATGCATTTGAATGGTTTTCTCTTTTCCTAAGCTAGTGGCTAATTGTGAAGCTGGGTCACAGCTCGCTGACGTCGAAGCGCCAAAAGTCGACCTCAATGTCCTTCGATTTTTGTTTATGGAATTTGTAGCTGGCCTCCAGGTTGTAGCGCAGCTCGGCAACGACACTGCCACAAACGCCCCACTCCGCAGACTTCTTTTGGATATAAGCGCTGCAAGAGAGAGAGAGGGAAGGAGCATAAAAGAGACGGATTACGTATAGCAGATTACGGACTATAATAAAGATATAGCAATTAGCAATACATTTTCGGAATCCACATAAATGACATGGCCTAGCCACTTAGCTCTAATAGTTCATAATTTAATTAATAATAATATAATAGTGTTAACTTTCCATGCGAAAATTGAATTGAATCATAAATTTATTCTTGCTTAGCATAAACAATAGTTGAACCTCTTCTTATTTATTAGAATATATAATTTAAATGACCGTATTAGCTTGATATTAACAATAATTTATTGCTTGCTTGCTTCCTCTAAATGTCTTTCGTTTGGATTTTGTCCTGTACAGCCTGCAGTTGATAGCATTGATAACATTCACATTTCTCTCTCCGTTTACTCAGGTAAAGCACATTATTTTTAGGTATTTTGTTTGTTTTTTTCTCTATATATATTTGTTTATTTGTTGGCAGCAGCTCACTCACCGGGTGGAGGTTTTGTGCAGCGAGTAGACTGCGCCAGTGGCTAATCGCGTGCCCACATCCAGGAAACGCATATCCATGCCGGCATTGTGCTTGGTGCCAAAGGGCGGATTCATGACAACCGTGTCGAAGGCCTTGTCCCATTTGCCGTTAGGCACTTGAAGCACATCGGCACGGATGCAGTCCACGTTTGGCAGCTCCATGTCTAGCACGTTTTGCCGAAAGGTATTCACAGCCGCGTCGTCTAGCTCAAAGCCGATGGTTAGCAGCGCGCCCAGCAATGTGGCACCAATGCTCAGCATACCGCAGCCAGATCCCAGATCAGCAACCAGTTTGCCCTCGATGTCGTCGTACTGCTCCTGCATGCAATGCGTTATGCAGGCAGCTATGTGGGGCGGAGTTGGGTACTGTTCCAGCAGTAGCTTTGGCTTCTCAAAGCCGTCGACGCACTGCAGATACTCCTCGAGCTTCTTCAGCTTTAGGCGCGTCATGTTGATGCTGGGGGATGTGGGCGTGTGTATTGTTCTATGAAATTACTTGGAGTTGGGCGCTGGCGGGGTCGGCACTGGTTCCAGGCGAGGCAGCACGGGTATAAAACTATTTCCAAAATACGAATCCTGCGGTATAAAGAAGCCCAGAGTAGTAGAGCTCGTTGGATTAAATGCAGATCGTGGCGCGGCGATGCCGCCAGCGGCATTAGGCGTTGCGCTCACGTTCTGCACAAACTCAGCTGTCACTGTCGGCTGTCCAAGCAGCTGTGGTGCGGGCATCTACAAAGCAGCAAACCAGAAATCTATTAATCTGTCACTTTAATAAAAAAAAATATATGAATATGTATTTACATTTACCTGATTCGCTGTGCTACCCAGTCCGATGAGCAACTGTTTCTTGGTTTGTATTTCTTCAAGTATTTTACGGTTCGTTTCTGCTTGCTGTGCACTTGATGTGGGAAAAGCCATCAAAAATAGGCGAAATTTTGTATGAATAACTAAATAAAAAGAAATTAAATAATTAAAACGGTTCAACACGCGCTCTTGTTTCTATTGTTTTTTCTTTTCTGCATTGAAACTGTGTTGAATCGTTCCGAAATAGTTCCAAAGAACAATTCACTAAACGGAACGATCGAAACAGTGCCAGGCTATTCCAAAATATATAAATTTGGTATTTTTATCTCTGCTGTCATATAGTTGTATATTTTATGAATGAAATCAAGATATTATTAGCTAATTTTAGCGTTGTTGGAGCTAAGCGCGTTGGCACTCAATTGAATTGCGCATTAAATTGTTAAAAGTACCATACGCTTTGTGGCATAGTATTCAGCATTTTGGTATTTTTCGTTTGCTGCCACACTGATTGTTATCCAAAACGTGCGCTGGCAAACAAAATAAATAACACGCATACACAAAACAGACGCCAGGATACAATAACAACAAACTACTCACACGCCCACACAAATCTAGCATAATTCAATTGCATTTCTTGGAATTGTAAGAAGAAGAACAACGGCAATCATGAGTATGAGCGACGACGATAGAGATATTGACATCGAGAGTGACGTAAGCAGATATTACGACGTGAACAATTGACGTCATAAATAATTTTGAAAATTCTCTTCACGCAGGACGATGGAGACTCTGATAACGGCCTTGGATCCTCGCGACACACCAGCACTGCTAATTTTACGCCGGTAAACAAAAACAATACAATAGATCACTAATAACAACAACAAGACCCACGCTGCTATTGTTTACAAACAGACGTTTGGTGCTCGTGCCTTTGTTGTGCTTCTTCTTCTTCTTGTTGAGTGAATGAAGGCGGTAGTAATTTGATGTTTATTTTCTTTATTTTCAAGGCCGAAAAACGAGCACACCACAATGCGTTGGAGCGTCGTCGAAGAGATCACATTAAAGAGAGTTTTAGCAACCTGCGCGAAGCAGTGCCCACGCTAAAAGGCGAAAAGGTGAGCGAGTGGAGCAATTTGAGGGATGATCTTAACTATTACATGAGAGTGAAACGTTAGAGCAGCCTTAGTGGAGCGTAAAGCTATATTTAAGAAGTTCCCTTATATTTTACCTTAAATTGTGAAAAAGTGGTAGGGGAAGTGGGAGTAAAGCTAGGAACATACGATGCAAACAATTTAAAGCCAGTTAAAAATAATTTGCACAAACAACAGTTTGCACAAATGTTCACACTAATGCAAATATTGCATGCAATCAATTTTTGTTTTGCACGCAAACTTGTACATGGCTATTTCGTGCAATATATTGCAAGTGACTCATTTGCAAGTTCAGTTGAATTGAAAAATTCAAGGAATAACGACGAGTTTATATTATGTCGGCACAAAAATCGAGAGTTGCTGCTGTTGCTATATTAGCAATTTTGATAAAACGAAAAAGAGTGAGAAGATTAAAGTCTGCCAAAAAAAAGAAACAGGTGTTGCAAAATTTTTGTTTGCAGCAAAATGTTTGCACTCGTATGTACCTAGCTTAAGAGAGTAATTATAGGGGGCAACAGATGTTTTTCGGTAGCATAGTGGGTTGTGACTAAAAACTCCTTATGTCAGTCACTGACTCTTTAGTAAAGAGGCTTAGCTTATATAATATTATGTTGCCTTTATTTCTTGAGAAGTCCCAGACACTAATCTCTCCGCTCTACCTTAGGCAAGTCGTGCTCAAATACTCAAAAAGACCACCGAATGCATTCAAACGCTGCGACGCAAAATCACTGAGAATAAAAAGGACATCGAGGAAATTAAGGAACAGAATAGGATACTAGATGAACAAAGTAAGGCCTATTTGAAATAATACCTAAAATAGAGTTTACTCTAAACGAATATCTAAACATTCAGTACGACGCCTGGAGGGCAACGGGTCCAATGGCAGCGATTTCTTGAGCGGCGATGATGACCTTAGCAACGATGTGGAGGATGCTCTGGAGCAGTCCGAGTTCAGTCGACGAAGTAAAAAGATGAAGACCTTTCACGCATAGCCCATAAAGAGCTACGCCGCACTTTGTCAGGTTTACGCTAGCATCGTAAACGAATCAAAGCATAAATTCTAATGCCTGGGCATTAAGAGAAACAGTCTACCCCATAAGTTTGACCTTTACGCCCAACCAATACCTTAATGTGTGTGTCTGTCGGTGTATGCGCTGGAGTGTGCGTGGGTGTGTGGATGTCATTTTGTACTCTCATACTAATACAAGATTTGTATCTAAAGAATTAGTTAAGTGAAACAGAAGTGGAATCATTTGTAAATTTGGTAAATGAAGTCTATTAAACAATGAACCAATCTATCTACAATGTATATAATATGGATATGTTTATCAATCTGTTGACTTCGGCGAAGGAATTGCAATCCGAATCGTCGATTGCACAGATTTCCGCATTTGCCTATGTGAACCACATTTTGTAGGGTATCTAAAAATATATATTTTTGTATAAAATTAACATACGGTCACACTACTTGAACTTGAGCGTCAGCCAGAGCAGCACAAAAACGAACAGCACAAAGAGGAACATATAACACATTTGCTTGGAGCCTCCGCCCTGCTTGGCCAGCCGCACAACGCGTGTCATTGTGTTGCCCAGAAAGCCGCCAGTGCGATCCATGTCGTCGTCGATGCCGCGTAGCAGTTTATCCTGGTAGCGCACTTCGTTACCAATGTCTATGGTCAGGGATTTCAGTGCGCCGATCTTCTGCTGCAGCTCCTCGGCCGCGCGTTCGTTTTCCGCCTCGAGGGCATCGTGAGTGGCGGGCGCACTGGGTCCAGGATTCTGACTTAGGGGCTGATAGGGATAGTTGTTGCGTCGCATGCTGCCACTGCTGCTGATGCCTGTGTGTGCCAGATTTGCATCAATTTAGCTGCTATGCTGGGGGAGGAAGGCCATCAACACTATGACACGTAAACCAAATGGGGTGAACGGCTTACTCAAAGGCAAAACAGCTGCTGCGGTCGTTGTGGTTATTCGTAGTTTATTCGCTTGGTTTGACCTTTGCACCATTCAGCTGGTTCTTAAGTTAAGGTGCTCTATAATTAAGGAATCAATTAAACACGGGCTCTTGCAATCTACAATTTGTTTAATGTAATGTTTATTGGAGTACTGGGTTCAGTTCCAGAACCAACTTGATCCGAGCAGCTTTCAATTGAACTATGCGGGTATGACACAAGCAACTTTGGTGACATACATATAATGTCATATCAATAATGTTTCACACTTTACATTACGAATTACAACTATTATTATTACAATCTTACAATTCTTAAATAAAAACAGTAAACTATAATAGAAATTGTAAACAATTTCAATAGAACTACAAACGTAATCAGTGAACCAGCTATTGTAATCGAACTAGTGGTATCGACAAAATCAGCTGTTGAGATATAACGTAACGGCGTGTGTTTGTTTTATTTAATCCATTTGCCATAGCAACTTTTAAACCCTTTTCTAAATTATGTGAAGTGATCAATTTCGGTTAAAAATTCAATCATTCGATTTGTGAAATTATATAAAACCACACGCACTTAATGCATAGACCTGCCATTACGTAAATTAACTGTACTTGAATACTTAATATACTTATAAGGTAACAACAACAATAAAGCTCTAAAGGTTAACTCCCTGTGTTCTCAAAAGTAGAAATATTTTCGTCTACCCTACTCGGATCAATACACTTGAAATATTCATCATATGGCCTGCTTATCAGCTTTGCAGTTCCAAATTTCGTCATGACCCAGTGGCGCTGAGTTGGCGCGATGACGTTGACCTTGATTTACTTCGCATCGCTGGGCGCAACTAATTTAGACATTTAATGCTGATTCAGTATAGCAAATTAGCAACTCGTTTTATTATCGTTAAAACAGCGATAATCTCGAGGTGTGCGTAAAGGGTTGCACGTGGAACCGCAGCATATTCTGTGATAAGGCTTCCGTCGATCTGTTAAGCGAAAATTCACTGATAAGGTTTCTCTTTCGATCCGCAGCACGTTTAACAACAACAAAAACAGCACCAGAAACAGCAATGGAACTATCCGAAAGGCTGGCCGGAATGGCTGGCGTGCCCGTGGAAGCCTTTCGCTTGCTGGTTACACTGATAGCTGGTAAAGCTAAATAGATTATTCCAATTCGAATTGAATAATTCTGATAATAACCCATTCAACTCCTTCAGGCTATCCGATTGCAGCGATCTACCGTAAGCTGATTGTCGATTTAGAGAACAAGGCGTTGCATCACCTCTTTTTCGCCTTCTGTGGCCTCAGCTTGTGCTACTTCAATTATGGCAAGGATACATATCATTCGCTCTTGGCCATCAGCGTCACCTTCGTGCTGGTTCACCTGCTGCGTGGTGCTCCTCACTTAATGCTGGGCGTCAACTTCGTCTTTCACATGGGCTACCTGCTGTTGGGCTATTACTTCACGGCCAGCAACGAGTACGATATCCTGTGGACCATGCCACATTGCATATTGACGTTGCGGATGATTGGTTTCGGTTTCGATGTGGCCGACGGATTGAAGCCGGTGTCTAAGCTATCGAAAGAGCAGAGTGAGACGGCATTGAAGCATCCGCCTTCGTTCCTTCAGCTATTGGCATATGCTTACTTTCCCAGCGGCTTCTTGGTCGGCCCGCAGTTTCCCTATCGACGATACCAAAACTTCACGAATGGCGATTTTCGCCAATACGAGGGCTGCGTGGACGCCGGTCTTAAGCGTTTGGGCATGGGTGTGCTCTACCTAATCGTTTGCCAACTCGGCTTAGCCTATCTGCCGGATAACTATTTCCTGACACCGGAATTTGCGGAACAGCACTTCATCAAGCGCATTTTCTTCCTGGGCTTCTGGGCGAAGTTCACGCTGTACAAATACATTTCGTGCTGGCTGTTCGCCGAGGGCGCTCTCATGTGCATTGGCTTCACGTACAAGGGCCGCGATGCACAGGGCAATCCGGATTGGTCTGGCTGCACCAATGTCAAGCTAATGCTCCTCGAGACCGGAAACACCATGGAACACTATGTGCAGAGCTTCAATGTGAACACCAATCAGTGGGTCGCTCAATACATATTCAAGCGTCTCAAGTTTCTCAACAATCGAAACATTAGCTACGCGGCTGCTTTGGGTTTTCTAGCCGTGTGGCATGGCTATCATAGTGGCTATTATATGGCATTCCTTATGGAGTACATGATTGTCAGCACCGAGAAGCAGGTGAGTAATTTATACATGGATATCAAATATTACATATAAAATAACTAATTTCGTGTTTAACAGATCGATCGGGTTTACACCAAAGAAGTGCTGCCCAGATATGGCGAAATATTAAACAACTCAATGATCTATAAAGTACTTTATTTCGTATCCTTAAAGTCCTATAACATCGTCTACATGGGCTGGTGTCTAACCTCATTTGTTTTTCTCAAATACGAGCGCTGGATCACGGTCTTCAGTGCAGTCAACTATTTCGGCTTCATATACATGTTCATCTGGGCTTGCCTGTTCCATGGCTATCGTCATTTTGTTGGCAAACCGCCGCAGAACCGTGAGCCCGCAGCAACAGCATCAACTGTAAAACAAGCCACAGATTAATGGAGCGGCTATCCTGTATGCAATGTCCAATTCAGCATAATTTCTTTAAAATTGATGTGAAGATGTTACCAAATAACCATAGTTTACTCTCACACACATATATATCTGCATATATATTACCGTGGATGGTAAACGATTGAATACGATAAGGACTACTGGACGTGGCGTAAAGTTGTAGCTGTTCTCAATCGTTCATTATAGAAAGCAATGTCTAGTCAGTGAAAAATAGTTGAGTTGCTCTATGAGCGGCGTCGAGACTTATCCAACTATAAAGACAATTTTATATACATATATTTTCATATGCTCACAAACTGTATAAGGAAAGAAGCAGCTATGCAAAAAGTGCAAATTTAAAAATCAAATTGCAGAAATTATCGATTGAAAATTCTTTATAACATTTCGAACCTTGTAAATATTGTAGAATCAAGGCTTTTAAATTATATCGTAACTAGTTTGTAACACTCTAACAAAATTGGTTATATCGAAAAATTAATAAACTTCTTGCTTGAGTCACCCAACGAGATGTGAATTGTCTTTCGAGTAGATTCATCTGATGGATGCCCTTAGAGTGGAGGAGTCTGCAATATCAAAGATCTATAAACCAAATATTCCACAATAAAGAGAAACATTCCACTTTACAGATACAATGCATTTTGTAAACATATTTATTGGGACTCGTAAGGATAGAATGATGAGAATGTATGAGAATGGTTCCGGGCAATGGCAACGGTAACGGATTAATGCTCCATGGGCTGAGCGTCGCCATCGCCGGTGTCCACACGACGTTTGGCGCCTCCGCCAGAGCCGGTGCCGGTAGTTTCCTCCTCAAGCTCATTGATCTCGCTGAACATGTAATCATCCTGATACTCCTTCAGTATTTTACTGGAGCGATTCTCGTCCAGGAACAGGGAGTACACCTTTTTGACGTCCTCGGTGTTCACTTCGGTGGCCTTGCGACGGCGACAAACCAAATTGGCCGTGGTTATCAATTGAATGGCATAGCGGAGGCTGGTGTCGGTGGCGATGCGTGTTAGGATGGTGAGGGCGTCGGGATGCATGATGCAGTCTTCCTCCTCGCAGCGTATCTTGAGTATCTCCTTGACCTCCTTTTCGGTGTAGGGAACGGTGCGTATGATAATCATGCGATCCAGCAGATCGATGGGTATGCCATGTGGACTGCGGTAATTGGTGCCGCGAATGCGTGTTATGCCACGATTGGTGGCCATGACCACGACAGGCGCCATGTCGGATTCTAGGGCACGATTCAAGTACGAGAAGCACTCAATGTCCAGCATGTGCACCTCGTCAATGAAGAGGACACCCGGATTGATCTCGGCCTTGCCCTCCTCGCGCCATTCCAGCACTTTGTTATTGATCTGATCGCGCACCTCCTGCTTGATCTCGCCGGTATCACCAGAAAATAGGGCCAGAAAGCCATGGGTGCGACTGTTGATGACATCGATCTCGTGCAGGGTGACAGTGTGCACGACTTCCTTGCGCTTCTGCAGCTCCCCCTCGGGGCACTGGACAAAGCGAGTCTGTGCCCCAGTGGCATCGTAATCGCGTGCACGTGTGAAGCTGCGGCCCAGCTTGTTCACCTTGCCGGAAGCTTTGTCTATGGTGATGACATCGCCGGCCTGAATCTTCTCCTTCATGAAGCACTCGATGATTTTGTTGCCCAAATCGTAATTGGTCTCCATTTCGGTGGTTTTCAGTGTGACTTTGCCCACCTTTTGGCCGGTGCCGGTGGCAGGACGCTCGATTTGTATCTCAACCACTTCGCCCTCGATGATCTCGGTCTCCTCCTTGATGCGCACTCCAATGCTCTTGCGCAATGCCTGTGACAGCGCCTCCGTCTTGCTCATCTCCAAAGAGTAAATCTCCGAGCCGGACATGCTGGTAAACGGTGTCTCAGTGCCCAGAGCCTGGGCCATTCCTACGGCAATAGCCGTTTTACCGGTACTCGGCTCGCCGGCTAGCAAAATGCAACGTCCGGCAATTTTTCCCTCTCGTACCATTTGCACCACAACGCCAGCGGCACGGCGAGCATCCTTCTGGCCCACCATGCCCTGGGAGACAGCACGCGCCTCCAGCACATCATCCAATCCCAGGCCGCGAATGTGCGAATGGGCGCCAATGCGCTCGATGCGTGTTATGTCGCGCACTTCGATTTTCTCAGCTTCGCCCATGGTTTTCTGCTTCTTTAAGTCACTTTTAGAGAGAAATTCAATTGTTTGTGCGTCTCGTTGAAAAATTATTCGACTTGTTTGGATGAAGTCAACAAATTAAATGAATATTTTATACTTTGTTGCTCGGCAACACAAAACAAATTGCCGGTTCGATTTGCTTGACATGTGTTTTACTATCGATATTTCGGTGACAAACAAAACCTATCGTACTTTTCAACTACGCTGACATCGCTTTGGTATCGATATTTTTTCATGAAAATAGATTCGATTGATATAAAATCCATTTGAAGCCGCCAACATTTGAATTTTAAGCAAATAAAATAACATAAATATAAAGCAAGTAAAATTGATGAGTTTTGGTGTTCCGTCGAACATTTCACGGCAGTGTGTGCTGTTTATTATTATCATTATTATTATTATTATTATTATTATCATTATTATTAAATATTAATTACAATTTGAATTTGTGTACGAAGTATGAAATGAGAGTAAAACTTTAAGATTATTAGCAAAAACTTAGATGCTTAACAAAGTGCGGCAAATACAAACAGGTTAGAGGTTAGCTGTAGCTGTAGCTGATTAGAATTTGAGCCCCATTGAACTGTTGATGGCATCCTTAGCACTTGCCATTCGACGGCGCCTTGGGACGGCAGATTTTACTGCGTCCATTTGCGCCATAAACAATATTACAGGAGAAGGTGAAGTAGCCGCACGTCGACGATTTCGTATAGTATGTGGACTGGAAGTTCTTGTTCTCCTGTGGCGGGCTCTTTGAATTGTCCATGCTACCAGTGACTGACTTGGTGACTGTCACATAGCTATCGGGTGCGCGTGGCTTTTGGGCGGCCCCATTGGATGCCTTGGCACCATCATCCTCGAGACTGACATCCACCTTTTTATCAGTGCTGTGCAGCTCCAGGGCTTTGGTGTGGAACTTCTTCTCCACATTGACTGTCCCACGGAAGCCACTGGGCACACTTTCGGTAGTGGTGCGTATCGGATATGTATTGACCCGTCCATTTTGATTCTGCACCACACGATATTGGCCGGCGCTCGGATTGGCGACCACTGCCTGCTGCTTCTGAGTGGGCGATGATTGTATAAAGGTTAGTGGTGCAGCGGCAGGCGCAGCCACTGAGCCAGGCTCCTGGCTTTTGACCTGGGTGTCAACTGAGGGACTCTCTGCAAGCTTCACAGGCTTTTCATTGTAATAATCTTCCTCATCATATTCGTCATATGGCTCTTCATCATCCTCTGGTTCTTCATCCTCGGCTAGTGTGGGCTGTGGGTCATCCTCTTTGCTGACTTCCTCTTTCTGAGTCTCCTCTTTGCTAGTCTTTGAAGACTTTAGCTGAATCTCCGGTAATCTATCTGATTCGGGTGCGACAGCGGGTGGGCCGCTAAAGACTGCGTCAACACGATCCGTAACTCTGATAACAAGAGTTTTAATTTTATCTTTTATTCATGAGTAACATCTTGAATACTTACGCGTTTCCAGTGTTGCCAAACTGACTGATGGTATTGAAGAGCTCCCTATTCTGTTCGCGATACGTGGCTACTTGTTCCTTCGTTCCCGATGCAGACTGTGCAGCGCCGTGGTAGGAGACGCCAAAGCTAAAATGAAAAACAAACAGAAAATATTTAACTAAGAAAACATTAAGCTCGATTGAGCTTACCTGGATGTTCCGTGTATCTGGGACTGACTTTGACCCGAGTGACTGCCCGATTGAGCTGACGCTTGTCCACCGCCTGCCGTATTCACTTGAGTATTATCCTGGGCAGGCCGGAAACCAATTTGTGCTTGCGAAGATGTCTGGCCAGGTCCGCTCGACTGGGCATCAGCTAGGCCGCCCTTATCATTGGCTTGCACTTCACTCTGGCTCTGGTGTATGATACCGCCGCTCTGAGATGAAGCCTTAGTGCCGCCGTTCTTGGCATTAAGCTGTACTTGGGCTTGGGACTGAGAAGGACCGCCAGTGCCCTGCGACTGGCTCATTGCTCCATCAGCATTTCCTGTCACCTGCGCACTTGCAGCACGATCGGCGTCCGAGGTCATTGCGCTTGCACTGAAGGAACTGCCTTTACTGTAGCTGCCAGACACTTGAGTCTTGGCAGTACCTCCATTCTTTTTGCCCTGAGCGCTAGCTGATGCCTGACCATCACCAATAGCAGACTCTGCCTGCGAGAAGGCATCATCAGCACCGCCAGTGCCAGCAGCTCCAGGTACGCCTGCAGGACACACGATTTAACGAATAGTTTAGTTTCATTCCAATAAATATTTACCAATAGCACCTCCAGGGGCAACGGCTGTTCCTGCATCTGTGTAACGTCCTGGAGTACCAATTTGAGCGGCTCCGATTCCGGGCTGTCCTCCAAGTCCACGTTGACCGTCACTGATTCCTGGCTGTCCGCCAGATCCAGGCTGTGTTAAATATCCAGGTTGACCACCGCTAATTCCTGGTTGTCCGCCAATTCCTGGTTGTCCGCCAATTCCTGGCTGTCCGCCAATTCCTGGTTGTCCGCCAATTCCCGATTGTCCTCCAATTCCGGGCAGGGTTCCGTATCCGGTCTGACCTCCACTAGGCTGACCACTGCCAATTCCGGGTTGTCCTCCAGCTCCAGGCTGAATTCCATATCCAGCTTGTCCACCAACTCCAGGCTGCGCTCCATATCCGGGCTGACCACCCCCAGGTTGAACACCACTGATTCCGGACTGTCCGCCAGCTCCAGGCTGAGTTCCGTAACCAAGCTGTCCGGGCTGACCACCACCGATTCCTGGCTGTTGACCAACGCCAGGCTGTGTTCCATATCCAGTTTGACCACCACCGATTCCTGGTCGTCCACCAATTCCGGGCTGAGTTCCGTATCCGGTCTGTCCACCAATACCAGGCTGTGCTCCATATCCGGGCTGACCACCACCAGGTTGAAGGCCGCTGATTCCGGGCTGTCCTCCAGCTCCGGGTTGAGTTCCGTAACCAAGCTGTCCGGGTTGACCACCACCGATTCCTGGCTGTTGACCAACTCCAGGCTGTGTTCCATATCCAGTTTGAGCACCACCGATTCCTGGTCGTCCACCAATTCCGGGCTGAGTTCCGTATCCGGTCTGTCCACCAATACCAGGCTGTGCTCCATATCCGGGCTGACCACCACCAGGTTGAAGGCCGCTGATTCCGGGCTGTCCTCCAGCTCCGGGTTGAGTTCCGTAACCAAGCTGTCCGGGCTGACCACCTCCGATTCCTGGCTGTCCACTAACTCCAGATTGAATTCCATATCCAGGTTGACCCACACCACCTCCAACTCCGGTCTGTCCTCCTATTCCCGGCTGAGTTCCATAGCTTGACTGACCACCGGCAATTCCTGGTTGTCCAACGCCCCCTCCAATTTGTGCCCCAGTACCAGGCTGAATTCCATATCCAGGCTGAATACTATATCCTGGTTGACTACTGCCGATTCCGGTCTGTCCACCAACACCAGGTTGGGTAGTATAGCCTCCTGGCTGTCCACCTCCACCAATACCAGATTGGCCTCCCGGCTGTGTAACGTACCCAGGCTGACCACCTCCACTTCCTTGTTGTCCGATTCCAGGTTGACTTCCATATCCAGGTTGAGTTTGGTACCCAGGCTGTATGCCATATCCAGTTTGACCTCCAATTCCAGGCTGGCCTCCCGCACCAGTCTGTGCTCCGTATCCAGGCTGAGTTCCATATCCACCTTGACTTCCGTAGCCAGGCTGCCCGCCACCTATTCCTTGCTGGGCGTATCCAGGCTGAGCACCACCGGGCTGTCCACCAATGCCAGGCTGTGTTCCGTACCCGGGCTGAGCACCACCGATTCCTTGTTGTCCACCAACTCCAGGCTGGGCTCCATAGCCAAGTTGACCACCACCAAGTCCTGGCTGTCCTCCAACACCAGGCTGGGTTCCATAACCGGGCTGACCACCAACGCCAGGCTGTGTTCCATAGCCGGGCTGTCCGCCACCGATTCCTTGTTGTCCTCCAGTTCCAGGCTGAGTTCCGTATCCAGATTGACCACCACCGATTCCGGGCTGTCTACCAACTCCAGGTTGACCTCCGTATCCAGGCTGAGCACCACCTAGTCCTTGTTGTGCTCCAACTCCAGGCTGGGCTCCATAGCCAAGTTGACCACCACTAAGTCCTGGCTGTCCTCCAAAACCAGGCTGTGTTCCATAGCCGGGCTGACCACCAACGCCAGGCTGTGTTCCATAGCCGGGCTGACCGCCACCAATTCCTTGTTGTCCTCCAGTTCCAGGCAGACTTCCGTATCCAGGCTGCAGACCTCCTGCGGATCCAGGCTGGGTGCCATATCCAGGTTGTCCGCCACCGATTCCCGGCTGACTACCAGCACCTGGCTGGGTTCCGTATCCAGGTTGACCACCACCGATTCCTGGTTGTCGACCACCGATTCCCGGCTGACCACTAGCACCTGGCTGGGTTCCGTATCCAGGCTGACCACCACCGATCCCTGATTGTCCACCACCGATTCCAGGCTGACCACCAGCACCTGGCTGGGTTCCGTATCCAGGTCGACCACCACCGGGCTGTCCACCAGCGATTCCTGGTTGACCACCACCAATTCCGGGCTGACCACCAGCACCTGGCTGGGTTCCGTAACCAGGCTGACCACCACTGATTCCTGGTTGTCCACCACCGATTCCAGGCTGACCACCAGCACCTGGCTGGGTTCCGTATCCAGGTCGACCACCACCGGGCTGTCCACCAGCGATTCCTGGTTGACCACCACCTATTCCGGGCTGACCACCGCCAATTCCGGGCTGACCACCAGCACCTGGCTGGGTTCCGTATCCAGGCTGACCACCACCGATTCCTGGTTGTCCACCACCGATTCCAGGCTGACCACCGCCAATTCCGGGCTGACCACCAGCACCTGGCTGGGTTCCGTATCCAGGCTGACCACCACCGATTCCTGGTTGTCCTCCGCCAATTCCGGGCTGACCACCACCGATTCCTGGCTGACCACTAACACCTGGCTGGGTTCCGTATCCAAGTCGACCACCACCGATTCCGGGCTGACCACCAGCACCTGGCTGGGTTCCGTATCCCGGCTGACCACCACCGATTCCTGGTTGTCCACCAGCGATTCCTTGTTGACCACCACCAATTCCGGGCTGACCACCGATTCCAGTCTGACCACCACCTATTCCTGGCTGTCCACCACCTATTCCAGGCTGACCAGCACCAATTCCGGGCTGACCACCAGCACCACCACCACCGATACCACCGGCTCCGGGCTGACCGCTTCCACTGCCACCTATCCCCGGACGGCCACCTGTTCCAGGCTGTCCGGTTGCTCCATAAGGTCCGATACCCGGCAGACCACCACCAATTCCAAATTGATTGTATGCTCCTGGTTGCGTACCATACCCAGGCTGGCCTCCAATTCCTGACTGCGCTCCAGCACCAGCTATTAGACATATAACAATTATGTATTTATTTGGCATTTTGATTTGCAAAATAATTACTCACCTGGTAGATTTATTATGGCATCGGGTCTACCAATGCGGCCGCCCGAAATGCTGGGTCCACTCGGATAGAGGTCAGAGCCTCCAGAGTACCCGGAGCAGTCACTGCAATCTCCCGCAGAGAACTGGCTCTGCGCTTGACCCATGCCATGGGTACCGGCTGCAAGAAATGTATTATGTTATTCAGCGAGCTCAAATTTCTACTGTGCGCGACTTACAAACAGTTGAACGTGAGCCACTCTCATTGGCCTCCGCCTCAGCTTTGCCATCCTCCTCGGGCTTGCCGAAGTTTAAGTACTGAGACTGTGTTTGTCCTCGGACACTATACAAATGTTTATGATTTGTCAGAGCTCTCTCATTTAGCATTCGTTTATTTTAGTTACTTACTAGCCTCTGCCGCTTCTCTTAGTGCGCTCTAATTCAGTCAGGGGATTCAGCTCCGCATCGTCATCCACAGATGATTGATCCTGTAATTGAATAATTAAAATTAATCAAATAAGTTCAATGTTAATGTCAGGCTAATCTAAATTGAAAATCTAAGCTCAGTTTGTTACTAAAACTGACCTTGCTCACAAATCTATGAACGATTCGCTCTTATCTCATTTTATTTGGGCCGAGTTCATGTGCATTGAACTACTCTACTTTCCCTCTCTCTCTCTCTCTTTCTCTTCTAGTATCTCTCATTCATATACACCCACACTCTCGCTCTTACAGAAACTCACACACACAGACACTTAATTCATGTTTCATTAACAAATTTTGACACTTACAATAGCCGCTCCATTTGTGTATGCTACGAGCAGCAACACGCCAAGCAGCATGCCCCAACGAAAGGGCAACATTTCAATAAATCTAATTTGAATCCAATTGGAACGCGTGCTCGAAGTGCCCGACAGACAGCAAAACTGTGAATTGAAATTGAAACGTATTATCAACATATTTACTGGTTTGCATATATGTATGTATATATATATATATATTTATATTCAAAGATTTTAATAGTTCTCGGTTTTTCCTTCAAGTGCGGATCGTTGCTCTTCTCAGTATCTGTCACAAGGGGTTATCACCAAAGACACTTTATTCAAATCAGCACACAAATGCCAAAAATAATAAAAAAAAATCGAAATCATGTTTTTTTCATTATTATAAGACTCGATTTGTTCTTGGACTCATTTATAGTCTTTGATGTGATGTAATAACATGTGCTGGCAAATTTATATACATTTGAGTAAAGTCTTGTAGTTTATAATTGTTTGAATCATTATAGGTATATTTGATAGATATATCATTTAGGATATATTTATTTTAATATTTATTATATATTTGTGATAAATTAAATTTCGTTTCACATATGATTGATAGGAGGAAATACTTTTATAGTATTTATTATGAAATAGATATATATATAAAATATATTTTTTACAAGCACATGAATTTTTTATTGCAAAATTGTTCTTTAAAATAATAATTCATTAAATTCACTTTTTAAATTTGTATAATTTTTTTTAAGGTTATCAGTATTTATTTTATACGCTTAAAATATTCCTTTGAAGCCATATTGTCTTATGAAATATGAGCGGGCTACTGTAAATATATTATATAAATTTATAAATAAATATATTTATAATATCCGGATCTAATCGTGCACTTCCACTTTTATTTAAAAATTAGGTCATAAAACATTTTATTTATTTATTCTATTTTATTTATTTTTTTTTTTTTTTTTTTTATATCCTTGTTGGACTTTTGTATTCTTGAATTTATATTCTTATATATATATTTTTTTATTATTTTATATACAAAATACAGTTTTTTATTTGCTTTATGTTTGAGTCTTATCCTTGACATAGTTTTGACTGCACTGATAATATCTTTGGATTTCATGTTTTCTGCACTTGTCTTAGTATTTAGCACTTGTTGGCACATATCCTTGATAAAAGTTATATAAGTATTCCATAGGTTTGTTTCTCTACTCGTTCACACATACTTCTTCGCCTTGCGTTTCTAGGATCCAAATGAAAGTTCCGATCTGCAGCCGAACGCGACAACTGCTGGATTGCGAATAACGTAACGCTGCTGGAGCATGGAGACGTAAAGTTCTCGAGCTGTGGCTCAATTCATTGAAAGCCAAGCAATTTCAAATACATTTGCATGCGAGCAGCATGAATATTTATTGAGGATTCACACATAGAGCTCTGCCTTATCGCACATATGTCTAAGCATATACATACATACATACATACATGCACAAGCAGACTGAGACGAGGCACTTAGAGCTGGCTGTGTATGTATATGTGCGTACCGCTGGATCGCATCGTCGCCATTCATTTGAGTCCATGTTTATCAACACTTTGATCGTGTCAATCGATCACTTCGTTTCGGGGCGCCCCATTGAATGCGTCTGCGTTGCAACATCGTCGCCAATGGGGGAGACTTTTGACCCATTTTAGGCAAATGTGTGGCCATTTATTAGCATATAAAGATACTCAATTGTGTATATCTTACTTCCATTATCCAGCGTGTGTGTGCGTGTATGTGTGTGTATGTGTGCCCCTGCCCCATCCCATGCCGGCTCATTAAATATGCATGTGGTCCCTCTACTATGTTGCAATTGTCGAGCACAACTCTTCGATCTCTTCGCTCTATGCTTTGTTTTGGATTGTCTTCAATGTGTTTTAGCGGAAGCAATTTGCGCTTGATAACCTCTTCGGTTCCTTGAAAGCCTCGTCATATCTATAAATAAACCTCTACTACACCAATGCTAGGCTTATCTACCAACAAAACCAAAAAAAAAAAAAAAATAAACTACTACAATATAAATTGTTTAACATTTATTTATTTCTTTGAACTATAGACAAAGTATTGAACTGTACATAAATTTAAAAGGCTTGATGAGTTTGTTTCAAGGGCGACATTTTTAATTGAAACGCGCTCAAAGAGCCGAAACAACCTAGTTTGATAAGATCAACTAGAAGCAAACTTTTCATTAATAACTAATTGCCTAGGCCTATTAAAATAAATTTGCATGCACCCAAAAATAAATCTATTGAGAGCATCTATCAATGAAAATTGAATATGTTTCTGTCTGTTATTTACTTAGGCGTATACTAAAAGTGGCTTTTATTAATTTTTATTTAAATTTTATATATATATATATATATATATATATATATATATATATATATATATATATATATATATATATATATATATATGCATGCATTACAAACACTTATATGTCTCACAGTAAATATAAATAAAATGAAAAAATTATTAATTCTTGCCTTTTCGCGCTCAAATTCAAATTCTTGTATAATTCTGCTTCACCCTGTGCTTTGCTCGTTTAATACCAACTTGCTTTAGTATTTTTTTTTTTTTGAATATCCCAGCTCGGCCACACAGCGTACAAACTGGTCTGTTTTTTGTTTACGTTTGAAAAGAAAGTATACATTTTAGAAATTACATATTTAATTCAACAAAATGGCCAACGGCGACTGGATGCCTCTGATATTTTGTGGCCTTTCAGTGCCCATCTCCATATTCATGTGGCTGGGCAACGTGGCATTCTCGAAATTCTGGAGCTATGATTATGAAGGTAAAGATTGAATTAATGCATTTCCAGATAAGAGAAGTCAAAAATTGAATTGGGTTTATTAATAGAGCCATTGGTCATATCACCGACTCGATGGCTATTTTCGACATTGGCTCCGCTCGCTCTGATGACGATTGCGCTGCGGCGACGCTCCGTGAGCAAATCTGGCGCCGCATTGGGCGTGGTCGTCGCCTTCACGCTGTCCATAGCCAGTCATCCGTTCTTTGCCAGCCTGGTGGTGTTCTTCTTCAGCTCGTCGCGTGCGACTAAGTTTCGGGCGCAGCTCAAACGCCGCTTCGAGGGCGACTTCAAGGAGGGCGAAGGACAACGCAATTGGGTGCAGGTCCTATGCAACGGCGGCATGGCCACGCAGCTGGCGTTGCTCTATCTGATCGACTGCGGCAGCGGTGAGCGGGCCATTGATTTCGCCAAGGAGTATCGCTCCAGCTGGCTAAGCATTGCCGTCATGAGCTCATTCGCCTGCTGCAACGGCGACACCTGGAGCAGCGAACTGGGCAGCGTGCTCTCCACACGCGACCCCATCTCAATCATCAGCTGGCGTCGTGTGCCACGTGGCACCAACGGAGGCATCTCGCTTGTCGGCGTCGTGGTCAGCCTGCTGGGCGGCTTGCTCGTTGGCTTTGCCTACTTTGTCACTGTGCGCTATACCGTGGAGGCCAAAATGCTGCTGGTCAGCCCACCGCAGTGGCCCATCATCCTGTTCGGCGGCATCGCCGGTCTCTGTGGCTCGCTGCTGGACTCTGTGCTCGGCGGACTGCTGCAGTTCTCTGGCATCAATGAGCAGGGCAAGATTGTGGATACACCCGGCAAGGGAGTGCGTCACGTGAGCGGCCTACGCATACTCGACAACCACAGCGTGAATCTCATCTCCACCATTATTATTGGAGTCACGATGCCCTTGTTGGCCCTCAAATTCTGGCCCGTGCGCTGAGCTCTCGGAGTGCAGCACCCACTCACATCGGATTCCTATTTTCGTACTGCTAGCTAGCTATAAGCGAACCAGCTGACTTTTTTATGTATATGTAATGCAAACGATAGACTCGAACACACAACGACTAGGGCAACATTGTGACGGTTATACTTAAGGGAAATAAGGACGCTCGAGGGAGTAACTGAGAACGAAATGTTCCATAATTTCTTCATGTTTGTAAGAGGCTAAGGCTGATAGAGATAGTCAGCCTTGGGCTCATCGAATCATCGAACATATCAGACAGCCTAAAGTACTCGTAATTGTTATATTTATGTAACTAAAAAAACCAGCTCCACGCGTATCAAAGATACAAAACATTTCAAAACATACCTGACTCAAAGTTAACAAACTAGCTAAAATCGAATTCTAAATTCTAAAGCAACATTCTATATTCTACCCACAGCCATGTCATTCAGCTAGAAATGTTTTGGGTTTGCTTCATATTTTCGTAGTTTAACTACTTTACATAACTTATATCTTAGTTTGTGCTATTCATTCTCAACTGCCAACTGTAAGCTAGCCCACTGACATTGTTAACTTGTGTAGAAAATATTTCAATGATTTTGTTGTTGCTGTAACTAACATAGAACCGTTTATTAATGCCTTTGAGTTTTATTGATTCGCCTTAGCTTTTGCATCTCGATGCTGCGCATTAAGTTCTGGGAGAGCGCACGCAACGCTTCGCTCGAGGGCTGAGCCACGCCCATGCCCGACGCTGGCTTGGCAAAACCTATGGAGAACTTGATCATGAGATCGCCAATGGGCGAGTTGACGAACTGGGACCCAGTCGAGATTGTCTTGAAGATGATGCGTCGTTTGTGCTGGTAGATTTGTGGATCGTGTGGCACCATGTTGCTCGGACTGATGCCGGGCTTCGCCTGCGGCCGTGGCCTGCTGTTGGCTCCAACCGGCGCTGGGGTCGTCGTCGTTGCCAGCAGCTCTGTATGATTGACTGGCGACGCGGTGGTCAATTTTGTGTTTTGGCTGGCCTTGGCTCGAGTTGTTCGTGGCGTCGGTGTGGTGGTGCGGCGGCGTTGCGGACGATTACGTGCGGTGGTGCTGCTGCTTGGCGGCTGTGTGGAGCTTGAGACCAGCGGAGCCTGATAGCCTGACTGATCGGGCAGCTCCTCGCCAGCTGCTGTTGCTGCATCGGGTTTGTCTGCACTGCCTTGGCTCTCCTCCGGCTCTGGCGCGATGTCGTCCACGTAGTCGTCATCCGCATCGGCTGCATTGCTGTTGGTGAAGATTGGCTTGTTGGGCGGCGGCTGAACGCGCTGGCGCTTCGTCTTCTCATCCTCATAGATGGGCACATCCGGACCACTTGCTGCCAGCACTTGCTCCATTTGCTTCTGCAGTATCTCGTAGAGCGGCGTATTCTGTTCGTCGTCCAACAATTCAACTGGATCACTGGGCACAAACTGATTGTTGACGTAGGCGCTGCGACCATCCAAATCCTCCTCGAGCTCTAAAATGTCGTGATCCTGTTTTTGGGCACGTGACTCCACGACTGGCTGATCTGTCGCCGCATCGGCATCAGTGGGAGCGCCATCACTGCTGAGGAGCACTGTGAGAGGGAAGAGTTGAGTACTTTTTGTTCTGGTCCTGGACTTCACTCACCTCCACTAAGGATTATCAGCAGCTTTAACAATTTGAGTCTATCAGTTCCGTTTGCCATTGCAGTCGCTGGGATACTGTGTGCAGTGGGTGCATTTCTTGGATCTTTTATAGGTCGACCTGCCTGATGTTAAAAGTTTTTCTGATCTGATATCTTCTTAACTGTCAATCAACCCGTTTAGAACTTTCCTAGAACTCGTTTGACAGTTCAATGAACTGAACACCTTTGCAGATGCAGATGCAGATGCAGATGCAGATGCAGATGCAGATGTGTCCAAATGCATTTTATTCCGCTGTGGCTCCCAAGGGACTATGTGGTTAACCCGCCCACATTAAATCAGTAAAAAGATGATAAAAGCTTTCTTACGGCTCACTTTTATTGCGCTGGGAAAATAACAAAAAAAAATAAATAAAAAAAAAACAAGCTTCATTTTTAGTGCTGTCAATTTTTAATTAGATGTAGTAATGCATTTTATATAGATTTGGTTGCAGGTTAAAAAAATTAAATATATTTGAACTGAATTTAAAAGTCGAATAAATATATAGTTTAAATTTTACTTCTGCATTTTGAGTTGTACGTAGCAGATATTTAAATGCTTTTTCTGAAATATAAAAACATAAATAAATATTTTTTTCTTTGTATTATTTTTAAGATTTTTCTAATTATATTTCTCCGCATAACCGAAACAGTACAGCTCTTAAAGAGCATAAATATAAATCAAGCCTACATACATTTCGATTTGTATTTGCTAAAAAATGTTAGGATATTCAGCCATGATTAAATTTGTTTCAAAAACAACTTGAATATGAATAAAATATTTGAATTGTATTCAGCTGGTTATATATGAAAGCTTAAGTTTTTTTCTGCGGGCTGTTGTCTATTTTCCTTGGCTAATTTAGAAGAGCTTATATGCGATATTATTTATTAGCTTATTGTTATTATTTATATTATTTATTATTTTGCCTCTTGTTTTCATTTAATTTTTTATTAGCTAGTTTGCAAAGCTCGAAACATTTTTATTTTATATCATTCTTTTAATGCTTTTATTAAAATGCATAATCAGAAAAAAAATGTTTGTACATCATTAAAAAAAGTTGTACTTTATTTTATTTAAAATATATATATATATATTTTTTTTATAATTAGTTTTAATAGTTTTTGTATTTAATGCTAGAAAAAATAAATTTATACTTAAATTTTCGTAATCATCCTCGCATTTTACATTATAAAAATAATTAGACCATACTTTTTAGAAAAAAAGTTATTGTTATTAATTTTTTTCTTTTTAATATATTTTCTTTTAGAATTTTTTTTTTTATTTTCAAAATTATTTTGTATTTTATTTTTAATAGTTTTTGTATTTAATACTAGAATAAATAAATTAAGAATTTAATGGGAAGTAGTATTTTCTTAAGAGACCACATATTTTAATTTCTCCTTCTCAGATTTGGGCTTGAGCTGCTCCTTGATTGGCTCTGCAGGCGTGTCAGGTTTCTGGACCTCTACTTGAACCTGTTCCACGGCAGGAGCAGAGCCAACTGCGGGCGAAGAACTGGCAACTAGAGGAACTGCAGGGGCAGCAGCAGCTGCTTGTGGCTTGACAGCTTGTTGAGCTTGGGCCACAACGTCTTTCACGGGCATTGGAGGCATAGCAATGGCTTCCTGTGGCTTGGGCACAGGCGCGGCCACTGGCAGAGTGGGAACGGGAACGGAATCTGCGGACACTTGCAGGGGCAGCTTAATGGGCTCTACTTTCTCCGGCTTCTGCTTCTTATCCTGTTTCTTTTGTTCCTCGCTGCTTTCATTGCTCTCCTTGCTGCTCTTGCTCTCCTTGCTGTCCTTGCTGTCGTTGCTGTCGCTCATCGCCTGGCTGGCCTCAGTCTCAACAGCTGCTGCTGCAGCTGTGGAGTTGTCACGGAAGTAGGGCGAGCATCTGAACTTCTTGTCGGTGTAGACTGTTTCCTTGGGATACATTTGCTGGCACTGATCGTAGGGCAGATCGGTCCAGAGGCCATGCGTGCGGCACTTGGCCACATTCAGCTTGCATTTGTTGTAGAAGACGGCCACCTCGTTGGGCGTGCGTCCACAGATGGGCTCGTAGGGCTCCACGCAGTCGTCGTCGCACAGATAGCCCTCGCTGAGGGCGTTGGCCGCGCTGTTGATGGCTCCGGAATTGCCGGCCACCTGGCAGCCCGACTTGGCCGGGTCACAGGCGAACCAGGCGATGGGTATGGCCAGGTAGGGTGGACTCTTACGCTTGCCATCGACGCCCATTAGGGGCCTGTAGGTGCGCTTCACATAGTACGAGTGCTCCTCGGTGGACACCTGGCTCTTGGCCGCACTCAAATCCGATGAGCTGGACCACTTTACCTTCGACTTGGCCTTGTGTGAATCGTGATGATCGTCGCCCTTGTGCTTGCGACGCCTTGCCTCAGAGCCGGCAGGTGCCAGCACCAGCAGAGCGGCCACTGCAATGGAAAGATCGAGACTGAGACCTGGAACTACCTGGAAATGTCACAATGTCGTCGCAGCTTACCTACGATGCAGGCAGCCTGGTATGGTCTCATCTTGATTTATCTGGATGTATGTGTGTGCGTGTGTGTGTGTGTGTGTGTGTGTTGCTGGAACGATCTTGACGCTGGCTCGCTTTGACTATCACTGATCGCTTCTTAGGCCGTGTGGCCTCTTAAGTATCTTCGCTCTGGCCTGCCCGCACTCAGCTGAGCGGGGAATTCTTTTCTTTTCCTTTACCGGTTTTCTTGGTAATCTACAAGAAAACGAACGCAGCAAAGTAAAAGAAGCTGCGGCTACATTTTCTTCTGTTTCTGTTTCTGTTTGTCCGCATCGAAAGTACGCAGAGTTGAAATTTTGGTGAAATTTTTTTATGCAAACTCATGTGGTCCCCATTTATCAGCGCACGCCCGTGCATACCCTTTTGTGGCTTCTTGCTTCGCTGACGAGCATCTAGAATGCTGTTGGCCACGAACTGGTTATCTGTTTATCACCTAACTGCCAGCACCAGGCCAGGCCGGTCCATGCCGGGCCGGGCTGCCTGGTCCCCGCCCACCCGTTCGAAGCGCACAGCAGCGACATCAGCACCGAAAGCCGGTTCCGGAATTGGGTCAATCCGAAAGGTTTACTGATCTTGTTTTACGGCCAGCAGACAATTCTTTTCGCCTTAGGAGCTCAGCGTGCGTTCAAGTATCTGAACTGACTATTTACTTCAAATTAACATCCAATCATGCTGTTCCCTTGTTATCAGAATCTAAATAAAAGAGAATTCGAGTTGATGTTCTGCTTCCAATTTCTGGGCACTTCATATGATTATGTGGATAATTATTGTAAACAAACAAAACAAAAGTTAAATTCGTATCTGTATCTCTGAATCTCTGATTTTTGACCCAGTTGTGATATATGGTGAAACCTTTTCTAGAAGAAATTAAATATTATGTATTTTTGATATACGTGTGTTAAGATATTTTATTATATAAATCAAATTATAATAATTTATAAATAAAATTATAAATTGATTATTAAAAAAAAAAAAAAAAATATATATATATATATAATATAATTTAAGATAAAAACAAATATTTCAGTTTATAAATATATTGCATTTTAATATTTATAAATGTATAAATAAAACAAAAAAGAAAATAAAATATTTATATATTTATATACATATATAATATTTAAATAAATAAACAAAAATAGTAAAAATAGAAAATATACATTGAGAGCTCAGGAAATGATTTAGATGATTTAAAATAACAATTTATGGTTTATTAATGTATTGTATATAATTTTAATTGTAAAAATGCGTCATTAATTAACTCAAAAATTAGATATGCATATAGCTATATGAAATTTGAATAATCGATAATCAATAACAAAAAAATCCGCAAGGCAGATTTCGTTGATCAATTGCTTTCTCCATATTAGCGTGATTCAGAGCTGATTCAGAGCTGATTGCTTTCATTGTTATCAGATGCATTTGAGTTTCAAATTAAGATCTCTATGGAAAAGTTTTGAAAATGCATTAGAAAGTTCGAAATGCGCTGGTGTGGGAGATTCAAAATGAACTTAATTATTGCATAATTAGACACAGAAAGAGGCAGAGAAAGGGGCAGTGGCTGAGGCAGAAGCTGAGGCTGAGCATTGACTGATAGTCGAAACGAAATTTAATCAGTCAATTAGGTGCGTCAAGCTTTTGTTGTTGTACAGCAACAAGCCAACTCTTTTAAATTGTAAACATACATATTTGCATATGTCCATAACAGCAGCAACAACAACAACAACAATGGCAACAATAAGTTTGCCTCGTAACGCCCGCAACTGGCAAATGGCTGTTAATGCTAAAGCCAAATAGACGAGAGATGGCCAAAAGTTTTGAGCATAAATCAACAAATTTATGAAAGAAGCGACCAGAAACCGAGTTTTGAATAAATGATTTCGGTTTCTTTTGTGTTGCGTAGAGGAAGAAAAAAAAAAAAAAATAAATAAAAAAAAAGTAAAATAAACGAGCCAAACAACAACAAAATAAAGCACAACAAAATAAAAGAAGAAAGAAAGAGCGCTGCCAGCTGGCTGCAGTAACAACGTCGGTCTGCCTCTCAGGCCGGAGACCAGAGACCAGACCAAAGACTCCCCCCCAGAAAAAAGAGCTTGTGCCCGCTCGCCAAAGCCAGCGCCAGAGCCAGCGCCAGCCTGTCCGGCCGAGGCCTGGCCTTATGCATACTTTCATTTTAGAGACAAAACCGCAGCCGTCGCATGGCTATAAAAAGCGAAAGCAAAGCGCTGGATTCGCTCATAAAGACCGCAAAACTGCAAAAGTCAACTGCGCCCCGTGCCCGTTCCCGTACCACGCCACATCAGGATTAGCCGAAAAGCAAAAGAAAATAAAAATAAAAAGAAAAACAAGCAGCAAATATGGTTAAGCACATTTACATGACACTGGGTAAGTAGCAGGTAGCAGGCACTAGAATAACAGCTTTAATATACAGATTTGCATTATCCCCACACCCACACCCACACACGCACACACACACAGCTGCTCTGGTCATCTTGGTCATTGCTGTGAATGCCGCACCCGCGCGAGTGGAGAACGATGTTGAGGAACCTGATTCGCCACCTGTAAACAAGGCGGAGAAGGCGCCGAACTCCAGCGCGGATAGCGATGAGAAGGATGAGGACGACGACGACGATGACGACGATGATGATGATGATGAGGAGGAGGTGCAAAAGCAGGAGAGCGCCGATGATGACGACGATGATGATGATAATGATGAAGCGTTCATTCGACGCCGACGTCGCGATGCCGTTGAGCCAGCCAAGGAAACTGCTGAGGCTGCTGAGCTTCCTGCTCCCGCTCCCGCTCCCACTGCCGCACCAGCTGAAGTCGCTGTACCCGCTGAAGTCACAGAGGCCGTGGAGGCCGCTGCTGCTGTGGCGCCAAACGCTGAGAGCGCCACCACAATTCCAACCACAAGCTCGCAGACAACGACGCGCAAGCCCGTGCTCGTCCTCATACGTGACGCCCTCAAGAAGGTCACCACGGGCCTGCCCACCGAGCAGGTGGCCAACAATGCCCTGCAGTACTTCCAGCTGTTTGAGCACTTCATCCAGCAAACCATCGAGCAGGTGATTGACGCCGCCGATGACGATGAGGAGGAGACGCCCGCAGCAGCTGCCACAGCAACAGTTGCCATCACGGAGGAGGACAAAAAACCCGAGACAGCAGAGACAGCCGAGACACCAGCCGAGACGCAGCCCGAAAAGCCAAACGAGTCGGCTGCTCCAGCTCCCGCTAAGGTGGAAACTGTTGTCCAGCCAGAGCAGCCAGCAGCTGCCAGCAATGCAGTCTAGTTAGTAATCCCCACCTCCCCTCCCCCCCCACTCGAATACCTCAACTATTTATTTTTAACTATTTATTGTTAGCCATAAAGTTTGCAAATACACAAAATGTTTTTCACAAAATAAAGAAAACAGAATCTTCATTGTCCCTTTGAGTCGCCGTGCTGCAGCAGCTCCGATTCCTTGAGCGCCTGAATCTTGCTGCGGCTCTGGCTGCGATGTCGATTGGTGGTGCGCTTTTTGGGCGGCTCAACTTGCTCCAGCAGCCGATTGAAATGTGAGTTGGGCGACTTGGTGGATGACATCCTTTTGTGGCCCGCCATGCGCCGCTGCAGCTGCAGCTCCTGATCGCCAATGAGCAAGCTCAGCGGCCTTTGGCCAGAGGTATTGATATAGATGGGTATGGTGATGTAGATGGGTGCGCCGGCAAGAGACTCGGGCTTGGAGCTCTGCTGTGAAAGGGAAAGCAAGGGGAGATTAATTAATCATAGCGAAAGGAGGCAAGGGAATAAATAAATATAATAAATAAATAAATAAAGAAAATCCTAATTACCTGCTCTTTGAGCGTCTCCAACTGTGGTTCGCTTGGCTCTTCTTGTGGCTTGGTCGACTCCACCTGAGCTGCACTGGTCTCAGTCTCTGGGCCAGTCAGCTGCTTGAGGAAGTGCAGGGGATTGGCATCGTGGCTCAGGCCATTGGTTTCGTCCTCTGACAGCGCAGGCAGTCGATTATTATGAAAGTTTGAGTCATGGTCCTCCTCGCTGGTGGCCAAATAGATCTTAGCCTTGGCAGTGGTGCTGCTGTGGGGCTTTTCGGTGGTGCTGCTGGCGCGCGTCGCCTCCAGCAACGAGCTCAGCTTGAGCGCCTCGGCAGTGTCATTTGGATGGACTGCATCATGGGCAGAGCAGAGCAGCAGAGCTGAGAGGACTGAAAGGGTATTGAAGACGCCCATAGATATAAATGCCATATTTTATTTGATAAAATATTACAATCTAAAATGCCTAAAGGTAACTTAAGCTAATGCCCAGCCCTAGCCTAAAGCCATTGCCAGCCGAGTCTAGAGCGCGGTTCGCTTGCCGTTGAGCACGACGTCGGTGAGTCCGAGTTCCTGGAACTGTTCGAGACGCTCCACCTGGCTGCAGAGCCGCTTCTTGAACTGCACCTCGCGGCTGAGCATCTTGAGATCGTCGACGCTGCACATCTTGTTGTAGCTGCACATATTCTTGGCTATCAGCTCGGCGGTGAGCATGATCTTGGCGCGGGACAGCCGCAGGTAGGAGTAGTTCGCGCTGGAGCGGCGCAGCTCCTGCCGGTAGAGGAACAGCCGATAGTCAAAGCTAATGTTGCCCGGCGACATCTTGAGTCGCTTTTTCGTATGCTTCTTGGGCTTATCCTGCTGCTGCTTGGCCTTAGAGTTGTGCTTCTTGAGCTGCCTGCGTCGCTTCTTTTCCGTTCTCTCTTCCGTGCTGTGGCTGCTCATCTTTCGCTGTTGACTGTTTGCTGTTCCTGGCGCGTTTAGTGCCAGGATTTGCACACATTGGCCTTATATGTCGAGCAGGTAGCCGCTGGGCAGGTAGATCATCTCATTAGCGCATGTGCTCGGGCGCGTGTTGGGATCGTAAGGAACGTTTCCAGGCTTTTCATTCGGAATATTTTCCGCAACGATTGTCTGGGTATTTCCATAGTTCATTTATGGCTTTATGACTGGGACCCAAACACAAACGCCGCCGGCTGTGTCCAGTCCTAAGCCTCAATTACGGCTACCAACTAAGCGCCGAAGTCGGAAATCTGTGCATGTCGCGACTTTTGGGTTCTGTGGCGTTTTTCTTTTGGGTTTTGGGTTTTGGGTTTTCGCGAAAAACACTCTGGCCCATAATTCCCAGAATATGTGGATGGTTCGGGTAAAGACATTTAGGAATTGTTGCGGCCACGCTGGCCTTGTCCCCATTTCGGTTTCTGAGTAATATTGTACACGGATTGTAGTTCGTTGCATCTTTGGGAAGTTTCTAGTAGGTTTAGCTATGCGAATGGTGAATATTGAAGGATTGCCACAAATGTCCAAAAATTACTGATGAACATATAATATATAACTATTCACAATCTGTAATATTTTCAGATCTTTCCAGGCATTTAAGCAGTTCTTCATTCTTTATCAATTATTATCTAAGCTAATCTTGTCTTGTTTATATACGTATGACTGCCTTCTGTACTCACACAACACAAGTTAAAATATATCTGTATACATAATTCTCTAATTTCCTTATACTTTTTACTAGTTTGTTCTATCTTAACTTAGTAGAATGATCAGAATCAATTTCTTAAAATACTATTCAACGCACCTCCACACAGCAAATTGATAGACCGCTTCATGCTCGTTTCAAAAATAATACTAAAACTGCTTTTGGGCAAACATTTCTATTTTATAGCGAGAAATAAGCAAGAAATTTCACTCCATGCGATTCTTATGGAAGTTCTCTTTATTTGGCTCGTTCGCATATTAAATCGACCAATCGCAATGGCCCTCATTTCTCTACTATGCAAATTAAATTATAAAAAAATAATATATCGCTTTAAAAATCTTCAAACTGAAAAGCTACGTCATATTGTTTGTATTTTGTTTTATTATTATTTTATATTTTCTTTCTCTCTTTTTTTTTTTAGGTGGGAGAGCAATTCGCATAAATAATGATGATGCGCCAATTTCATTTTGGTCTATTCAGCCATTTGATTTGTTCATTTTGCATGCATTTTATGAATTCGGAATTCGGAATCATCATCTCTTGTGCTTGGCCATTCAAACTGGATGCGCCTGGATGCGCAGCTGGAAAATGTGCGCGTTGCCTTTGTCAATAGGAATTAGCCAGAGCGACAGCCAGAGTCATCGAGGAGTTTTATTTAAAGTTGATTTTATTTATTTTGCATTCATCTGCCAGCACAGAGGCAGAGGCCAAGACGAGGGCCATGACAGCTGGCAGGGCAAAGAGTGAAGGGCAGCAGTCAGGGCATTTCCATTTGACTTGGCTCTGACTGACTTGCATAACATCTTCAGCCATCGTCTTTTGTGGTTTGCGTTTGTCATTAGACAACGTCTAGACCAAAATTTTACCAGCCCAGGTCCCCGATTCCGTCTTTGTCTTCATCCTAGTCATCGATAGCTATGGCAGACGCATGTCCTCAGCCAAAGAACTTGGCAACACAATTTGGCCAGGGGCAAACACATACATACATACATACATATATCGAAATTGGCAACGTTTGTGCATGTGACTGACTGAATGCCAAAAGCATTCCCCACTCTCTGCTGGCTCTGCTGCTCCTCATCTGCCATTGACTTACTTTTATGCTAAACAGAACCAATATCTTGAAGATATAGCTATATATGCATGCGAGACTCTCTCTCAATACCCTACGGAGCGGTTGCTGACTTTTGATTTATTTGGAGCTCAACTTTGACTATTCAAAGCTATTATGTATATATATTATATATTATGTATATATATTATATATTATTGGAAATTATATGTATGTCGAATTGCTAAGAATTTATATATTATATATATTAGTTATTGGAAATTAGATATATTTCATCTTACAAATATGAGTTTATACTGCGAAATTACACGCAGAGTTGCTTTCTAAGTTTCCTAATTTATGATTGGCCACGTTTGAGGCAGAGAGTCTTTAGACAGTGCTGATAGCCGATGATTGGCTCTCACTGTTGCAGTAGTATTAGTGTGAGAGCTTGCACACATATTATCCGAATGAGTTTGCGTCCTAGCTGCACGCTATTCGCATATATATATGCGTGGGAGAGAGAGAAAGAGATAGACACATAACTATTGCTGAGCTTGCTGTCGGGCGTTGCTGAGTGAGAGCGAGATGGCTATTGAGCACGTTCGGACAGAGCAGGAAGAGACTTAAACAACAAACTTATTAAGCTGACTTGCTCTACTTATTTCTCTCCGGCTACGCTTTAAATTAAAGTTTAGTTTTCAAGGTTTTAATGTATCCTATTAAAAATGCATTAAATATACTTATTACATATGATATTAACAATTTCGATTTGTATGATTGCTGCAATTCATTTAATTTACAAGCTATGGTGATTGAAATAAGTATTTGACGCTCAAGTACAAGACATTAAAATGATCTTATTGCATTGGTATACCATGAATATTTAAAGAGTATTAAAATATACACTTGAATACATTTCCGGGTTTGCATCTTTTATTTTTATTGCACGGATGACGTTGACGACGGCAATAATTTTTCGACATTGTGTTGGCAATTTGTTAGCCACGGGGCCAATAAATTTGGCCAAATATGCACCATAAAAAGAAGATAGAAAAAGATAGAGAGTGGTGTGTAAGAGAGAGAGAGAGAGAGAGAGAGAGAGAGAGAGAGGAAGACAATGAAACCAGTGTTGCCAGGTTTTGAGACATAAAAATAGCAAAATCGTCTCTAAAAAATAGCTGAAAATAGCTAAACAAATTTTAAAATAGCTTACAAAATAGCTGAAACCTTTATGCATTATGCATTTACTTTAAATTTTATTTTTAAATGTTATTTAATAATGTTACAATTTGGTCCACATCCAAATCATCATCAGAATTATATTTTTGATTAACTGGAATCATTTTTAAATATTTGGAAGGCACGGTATAATCATGGCAGCATTTGCCATTGCTGCGCAAGAAGAATTAGCGATGGTATAAATTCACAACTAGTGATGGTATAAGTACGACAAAGTCGTGGTGGTAGTATCGCGCAGATCATTACGTACAATTTGGGACTTAATCGAAAAATGTTTTTTTTTTTTTTGCTTTAAATACTAAAATCAAATTCAAAATATTCGTTTGTAAAATAGCTAAATTTATAGCTAATAGCATTTTCAAAATTTTCATAGCATTTAGGGTTCAAAAATAGCTAAAAATGCTATTAAATAGCTAATCTGGCAACACTGAATGAAACGAGAGAGAGAGAGAGAGAGATTCGAAAACCTATGCACTTTATAATGAAATAAATTGACTTTCATGAAGGCAGTATCAATATGGAAGCCAAAGCAAATAAATCGCAACTTTGAGCGCAAATTAAAATTGTATTGGGGGCGTGGCGGGCATGCTGGACCTCTGCTCGGTTGGGGCACATAAAAGGGCAAACGCTTTGGTTCGCCGCTCAATTTGCAATAATGCCGCACATCCAGTTTCATTTCAATTGCAACAATTTCGGACAGAGCCAAAAAAAAGAAAGATATAAAATGTATATATATATATATATTTGTTGATATATGAATAAGTATTGGCTGTACTCGTATATGGCTAAACTTCAATTTCATTCCATGCTATGTGTGTGAGTGTGTGTGTTGCTTGTTTTTCAGCTGTAAAATGCATTTCACATTTTATTGTGCACTCAATCAAAAATCCATTTCCGTTTGCCGTTTGTGCGAACGCCCGACTCTACCAGCTCTACTTCGCACTCCCTGACACCGCGACATGGACGCATTCACGGACTCCTGGCACGGTGCTTGTTTATTCGAAAAATATGCCTGCACGTGTGAGTACCGGAGGCTGCCTGGATGAGTGAATTGCTGAACTGAAACGAGGCGTCAGTCAGCCAGTCAGCCAGGCGGCCAGCCGGCCAGCCGGTCGATGGTAGAGCTAACTGGCATTGGCATCCAAAGTTTGATAATTGAGTTGAAGCTGCTCGCGTTGCTCGCGCTGAAGTCGTGTCATCATCGCCGGCTTTTACCAATATTGCAATAACAGAGCACTGGGCTTCCATATAAATCGCGTATATGCGATTGCCTGGAACCCGTCCGCAGCCCCCCTCCACAGCTGTGCCCGCTGCACGTGCCAAAGCCATCCAAATCAAACGGCAGCTGTAGCCCATCCTCCTGGCGATTCTTTGACTTTTTTGAGTTTGATGAAACGCGGCCCCCAGGGCCATTCGGTTTATTGGAGTCCAAAAGGGAGCATCTCTTTCACCTGCTGGCAAAGCAAATAGAGATAGTTATGAAAATGCCATATCGCTTAGACTTTCCTTTGAAATCTACAATAACCAGTGTTGGATAGCTGAAAAAATATACCTGTGCTGTATAGCTGGAAGACTTTTTAATATATTCTGGTTGTGTCGTCTATGGCAGAGCAGTTCTATACGTTGAAATGCCCAGAGGACAGTGTTGGAAAAGCAATGTTTAAGGCATTCCAAAAGAAAAGTATCTATGGACATAATGTATATTTAAAGCTTTTTCCTTAGCTCTAAATCTATAATAAATGCCTAGATAAAAGCCAACTCGATAAACAATTTAAGTCTAGAACTTTTCTTTTCTCATAGATAGAACATATGTCCATGTCGTTCTTAATTTAACTCCAGGCCTCACCTAAATGTGACTGAATATATTCTACATATCGCCCATTTCAATTACTCTCGGCCTGTACAAATTACCCAACTTAAAGAACTCATTAATTTAACTACACGCATCTTTATAACTCGACGAAGCTTTTTCTTCTTTGCTGTTCTTTTCTCTTGTGTTGCGCTTCGCTTCGAATTTCATTTTTATACACGTTCATGAGTTGAAAAAGAGTATATTGGTTGATTAAGAGATTACTGAGATTGAGACTTTTGAATGAAATTTTATTTTGTATAAATTTTTTTATTAGTTAGAATTTTTTATTTAGTCTATAATTTGTATATATAAATTATATTTTATTTTTAAATTATGCACACGTATGGAATAGTCAGTTACGCCCGACTGCGGCGTTCTTCCATGTTTCTTATTTTTTTTTGGCAGTTTGTTTGGTCCTTTGCCTCTGCTGACATGACATGAACTGTAGTTTATTTATTATTTGCTCTGATGCTTTCTCTTCTTCTAGCATTTTTTGTGACGCTGCTTGTTTCTCTTAATTTTGTTTATATCACTCTGACGCATGTTAGCTACTGTGTACGTATATGTCAGCATATGGATGTAGATTTGTGTGTGTGTGTGTGTGTCTGTGTGTACGTGTCTCCTGTAGTTTATTGTCAATTGTTTGTGGCATTTATTTCGCAATTGCTGTTCATTTTTTTCCCACTCTCGGCATGTGCACTGTTTTTGCTGTTCATTTATTTATTTATTTGATTAGTTTTTATTGCTACACAATTTTGACATTTGCCTGGTATAAAGAAGCGACTGCATTGCAGTTGAGCTTCATAACTAATGCGACAATCCAAACAGAATATAATTTGCTCTAGTTTTCGATTAGGCAAGTCAATAAGAAATTCGTTTCCACACATTTGCTCACTTTTATTCAGTTTGTTGAAAACTTCTTCTTCTTCTTCTGCATGTTTGTTTTTTCCATTTTCTTTGCATTACAGTTTTCGCCCCAAATCCTTGGCCTAGCTCTACGAATCGCAACCCCTTTTTGGCATTTACATACCCGTATTGTCAACCAATTCACGCATAGAGCTACTCCGTCCACAGCTTTAGCTAAAGACTGCGGTTATTTGGCCATAAATTTTACGTACCATGGTCTATTAACTGAACGCTTCATTCTCCCCCATGCTCGGGCATGAGTCATGCGTTCTCTGTGGATCCCACCCCCTGCTTCCCCTTTGTCTTAATTTGTGCAAGGTTTATCTATGAATCTGATGGCGCACAAATCAAAATACTCGTTTATATCCCATACAAAGTAGCTGGAGCCAAGTTCGTGCTTCCGCCAGTGAATAGCGAGCTTCATTTGGCCGCTTATCTATCAGATGTGGAAATTGAATTTCACCACACACGCACACACACACACACACACATGGTCGAAATGGCTACAGAGAATGGGAATGGGTATGGGTGTGGGCATGGGCATGAGTCTATAGATAATTGCATGATAACAGGCTAATTTTCAATTAGCGCCATTTTGATAAGCTCACATAAATTAAGTATTCTTTTCGCCTGCTGCTCGCAACAAATTGCGAATCGTCTTTTGTTTGTGTGGCATAAGTAGATGCGCTCTTCCGCTTCTGGCATTGTTTCCGCCTAGATGCTGGTCGATAGAGAGAGAGAGAGAGAGAGAAAAAAACGTGACTAGTTTATTGATTTGATCGAAACTACGCCAAACATAAATTAATAATAATACGAGCATTGACCAAGTAACAATTTGCTATGCTCTGCAAAATGCTTTTAAGCAGCCCTCGGATTCGGAGTCGAGAAACCCAACCAACTAAAAGTCAAACACTTGAGCTGCCCTGCCTGTTGCCTCGCCTCCTGCTGACTACGTGTTGGCCATTTTGACGTCGTCGTTGTCGTTGTCGTTGCCGTTGTCGAGGTCCTTCGAAACCTGCTCCATATAAAATTCCAATCATACTTGACCAAAAGCAAAACACTGGAGAATACGTAAACCCTGCCCAGCCCCATCTTTATCTTACCCCCTCTCCCAAAAAGAGTAGGAAAGTTAAGTGAAGTGCGGCGCTTAAGCCAAAGGCATTGAACGGGTGGCTGAGCTCCGTTCGATTTTGGCTTGGAGTCTCTGCTGCTCCTGGCAGCAGTCAGCAAAAATTTTCTGCTACACTTTCGCCAATAACTTGCCGTTGCTTAACGTTATATTTTATTGATACACTGGCCAGCAGCAGAAAGAGTTGCTAGTTGGGCTAAATGGATAGCTGAAATGCTCAACTAGATGATGTTTAGCTTTTTCACAATCCTTATCATTGAATGTGAGTCAGAGGCAGAGGCGGTCGGAATGAGCGAGCTATCTATCTCCAGCTTCATTGGAGTTTTCCTCTCTTCACTCATACCTCGAAGTATGTCTATCATTTCTCACCTCGAAAGAGTATCTCTGGTTCAGCTTGATTTTGCGTTGCATTTTTCTGGTTGCTTTGCTAAACTTTGGTCCAGCAACTTGACTGCCAAATGGCCCCGCGCCGCATCGTTGCATTTATTGGTGTGCTGGGGCTTATTTCCAGTGCACACAATTTTCGACAGATTTTCAAAATAGTTTCCGCTGCATAGGTAAAATGCAGCTGGGGACTTGGCAGCAGCTCCAATGCCAACTCCAGCTCCAACTCCAACTCCCACTACAACTTCAACTTCAGTTTGCAATCTTTGCGGTTAGCTTTTGTGAGAGGCGGAGGCGGAGGCGTAGGGCTGGCAAAGGGAGGCGTGGAGCTGAAATTTCTTTTCACTTTTCAAACATTAACCTTTAAACACTTTGTGAAGGGCGCCGCTGCTGTTGTCGTGCAGGTTGTCACAGCTTAATCGATTTGAAGAAAAGTTTGATGTCGTTTTCTACCTCTTCATGTTACTTTTATTTTCACGCCCCATTTGTTGGGAAGCGCTTACGGTAAATTGCAAAGGAAAATCCGTAGTCGTTGTCGTTGTCGTAATCGAGCTCCACGGCGTGCAATGATAAACTTTCGACACATTTTTCATTTATTTTCAGCACCTTTGATTGATATATTGAACACTTGGCGCCCAACTTAAGCAACCGTCTTTGGCTCAAATGGCTGCGCTGCGCAGCGCAGCTGTTTATTCGACGGAAGCTCGCCCCAGCTGGCGACCATTGTGCGAGCATTTCCGCCGGATGTCAAGAGGTGGGCGAGCTGAGGCATGGCACCCGATGGTGTTCCTCAATGTCAACTGCTGGCACAAAGGTGACGGACGACTCTGCTCGAGTGCCGGCTTACAGTTCAAATAAAACTCTGAATTTTATGTATAGCCAGAGGAATGCCAACTTGGAAAGCAAAGAGAAGTTAGCACTCCAGATCGTAGGGGGAGAAACAAATGCTGCGCATAAAGCAAACCTCTAAACAGAATATAAATCTGGTCAGAAACTTCCGCATATAACAAGCTATAGCTATAAATAAGCAAATATCATTAAACTAAGGCAACTAACTATTCGTGCTCCCTGTTGCTGGTGCTGCAGCTGGTCTCTGCTCCAATCCCATAACAAGTATAAAATGCTTGCCATTCAAGGCAATTGCCCAACTAGTAACAAAACACACACAGCACAGCACAGCACAGCACAAACAACAACAGCAATTGCTACCGGTAACAGGCAAAAAGGAAATAAGACAGTCAACTAAACAAAGCGAAAAGATGTGCCAGGACATGGCCAGGGCAAGGCGAAGCCAGGACAGGACGATGTCGATGCGAAGGGGCAACTTTTCATAAACATTATTAACAATTATTGTTGTTAGCAGAAGTTGCCTGAATGGCTGGATGGTGTTGCTTGTCGCGTGCAGCCAACAAAGTCCTTTTGGGCTAACACACAGACACGCACACGCACACAGACTACACAGCTGTGGAGTAGGCGAAGTTATAAGCACGGCAAAAGTTGATAAGAATGAGCCATAGACGTCGTCAGGCAGCTACTTTCAGCTGCGAGTTCTTAACACGGCTGCTTTGTGCATTTTTTATAAACTAACGCGACGCAGACGTAGACGTAGATGACTCCTCAGTTTGTTACAAGATGGTATACCTGCACTTTATATTAAATTGGGAGCATTTATTAAATAGAGAATTTGCAAATTACAGAAATATAGAAATATAGTTATACCGATATATAGATACAGATACAGATACAGATACAGATACAGATACAGATACAGATACAGATACAGATACAGATACAGATACAGATACAGATACAGATACAGATACAGATACAGATACAGATACAGATACAGATACAGATACAGATACAGATACAGATACAGATACAGATACAGATACAGATACAGATACAGATACAGATACAGATACAGATACAGATACAGATACAGATACAGATACAGATACAGATACAGATACAGATACAGATACAGATACAGATACAGATACAGATACAGATACAGATACAGATACAGATACAGATACAGATACAGATACAGATACAGATACAGATACAGATACAGATACAGATAGACAACAACTTATTCAGCGAACGAATATACTCGCTTCACTTCGCGAACGAGTAGCAGGAAGCGGCGACTGCAGACAAGGCTCCAGCTTTTATTTTTGTTGCTGGCATTCGCTTGCTGCACATACTTCAAATAGTCTTATGGAAGCTGCTGCCGACGCCATTGTAAAGTTCATAAAGTTGCGACGAAAAACGCCCACAGGTTGGCCACGTTCAGCGGAGGCTTTTGTAGCCATTGCTCATACGCCACGTTGGACGCAGCAGAATGAGCAATATATAGAGATAGATATAGATGGAGCGAAACTTGGCTAGTGGATTTTTTTCTTTCCTTCCTTTTTTTTCATCACTTTTTCTTGTGGCGACTGGCGAGGGCAAGCTGGAAAGTATTGCGGGAAAGTTTAATTGAGAAAGTTGAGGAATTTCAATTAACTGAGGATATTTGTTATTTTTATTTCGGCAGCGCCTGTCCTGCTCCACCCTCGTCTAGGTATTTCGTGTGTTGAGTCATGTGTGCTATTGGCTGGCAAGACTTCTCTCTGTTTATTACGTCTAGCCCCGCGCTTAATATGCCATTAAGCAGCAGCCGCAGTAGATTAGCTGGCAGTGCTTAAATCATTTAAAGAAGCGGAGTGTAGCAATTAAACAGATTCGTAGACAGAACAGCAGCCCAACTACAAGCGGCTGTGATTATAGTTTACATATAAATATTTAATAATACGTAGCCGAGCGGACTCAGCGAAATGAAATACAAATTGCTCTTCTGTCTGACTCTGAAGCTAATCACATCAGCTACAGCTAAGTGAGACTACAGAATGGCAGAATTGTTTGGTTTATCTGTAAGCTGTTAAGGTGGCCGTTGCTATGGTCTGTGGCGGCCACCATTCAATCAATCAATTGTAAATCACGCTGCACACCTGCTCCTCGGCGCCAGGTAATGTTGACAAGTCATGTAAGTCCTGTGTTGTTTAATTATTGGGCTCGTGTCTGTTGGCTTACCAATAAAGCGTTAACCGCTAACGAGTTAAGTGCTTTCGAGTGCTCGCTGAGCCTTGACCGCAGCCGCGGAGCAGTAAGTCGCAGCACAGAGGCAGATAGAGAGAGAGGGATGGAGATAGACGGAGACAGAGAGAGAGCGCTGACGTTTCCTTGATGAGTTGTTGACCAAAGTCATTACATGAATGGCTGAGGATGTGGGCTGATGAATGCTTACTTCCTTTGACCTCAATCAAAATTGACTTCACTTTAGTAAATTCATGTATATAAATATATGTGCGTATATATGTAGAGGTCGCTGAATTATATAGGTTATTTTGCCATTTGTTTGGGTGGTCACACATTTATTAATATTTTCTGTAGTCCCCTTGTAGTTTCAAAAATCCACTGAATCAACATTCGAGAGAAAGAAACTAGTTAATATTTTTTGATATGAATTCAACTCTTATTTTATATTATATTATATTATATATTATAGTAATATTATTCCTAAAAAGCTCATTAGAGTTACTGATTGGGTCGTATCCTGCCCTTAGTCGATCAGGACTATATACAATCTATGAAGATCTCCATTATATTTGTAATTTCCACTTTCAATGGTCTCAGTGCAGCAAAATAGTGCGTTATCCTTAAAGCTTTAGGTAGACTAAATAAGCTAGTTGCCTACTGTCAACCACATGACTGCTTGAAGCCGCAAATCCCAGCTCCAAGTCGCGCGGATGAAATGGGGAGGGAGAGAAAGAGAGCCAAAGAGATAGAAGCAATGTAGATACTGCTAACATGCAATCACGCTGACAGACTCTTTTAAGTAAAAAATGCACAGGTAAGGAAGAGAAAATAATCCCTGCACAGGCAGTGCAACTTTTAAGCAGCAGACACACACACACACACACAGGCACACATAGACATAAACACACACAGAGACATATAGTATTACTTGATCCGTGCTACTTAAGAAAAACTAAGTGAAGCATATAAGTAGAAACTAATTTTCAAGCTGATGTAGCAGCAGTGAAAAAGACGCTGCAACGACAATAACAGTAAAATGTTGTGGAGCGTCGACAGAGGAGAGAGAGAGAGAGAGAGAGAGAGAGAGAGGCAGTGGCTGAGAGGGGAGAGCGGAGCAGACTGCAGCAACCATCAACAGCTGTCTCTTTGTACCATTGTCAGTCTAAGCTTGTGTGTGTGTACGCATCTTTATTTCGCTGTTTCGTATGTGTGTGTGTGTGTGTGTATTTGACGTCAGCTGCGCTTAATTTCAGCGCATTGCTGTTGAGTGCGTAATGCAGAGGTAATAAGAAAGCGCATTGCATACCTTTCAGATACCCTATGGCACCTGGAAGCTAGCGGCATTTTGATTTCAATTGATAAGCATAATACGATGTACTTAATAATAAATGTTTTTGATGGTTGAGTTAATCATTTCGAACAAAAGTTAGTACAGCTTGCTAATTCAATAAAAATGATGGAAATCTGCATAGGGTATCTGATAGTCAGTCACGCTCTGCGCCCTCTGTTTGTGGTCTTAGGGTAACAAAGTCAACAGACAAACGGGAAAGGCACTGGCTGACTGGCTGACTAGCTCTGATGAGTGTGGCAATGCCTTAAGTGCACCTCGCCAATGCTACACGAAAAGTTGCCTAAAACAATTGAAAATTATCTCACGTACGTGCGAAATTGCAAACGTATTGTGGGCGTGGCTGCGACGATATAACCACCCAGCCATCCATCTCGACTCTCCCTGGCTCTCCACAATAAATGGAAGCTTATAAGTCAAGTGAAAAGACGAACAAACAGAACCTGGCTCCAGGCACTGAAGGACTACGGGACAATTTCGGGACTGGATCGACTCACGCCGTCAAGCACCCAGTGAAAGAAGAAGAAGAAATAAAACTAGAAATAGCAATAGAGCTAGAAGTAATAACTGATTGCAAAATGCTTTATTGTGAGAGAGGGGGTGTGGCACATTCGACATTTTAAAAGCAATTGTATAGGGTGCCGAAGGCTTGAATGAGCAGCGAAAGGAAAGTGGAAGAGACGGAAATAATAAAATGAGATAGAAGGCCCGAATACCTTTGTTAAAGACAGATAATTATATATAAAACATATGGCTGCTCGATACATTACGTTATAGACATATCTTTATTATTTTTTTCCAGCAGAAAAAAAAACAGCTCAGCATCCGTGGTTAGTAATATGAGTATCAGTAAATCCTCGAAATGAGCAATCCCAGAATAAGGAACAAACTTCTGAATTATTTTGATCACAAGTATCTGACAGTCCGTGATTGAGGTAAATTTAAAACAGCTTCGTTGAATTTCATTTGATCATTTTTAGCAGATTGCGTGACGGATAACTACTCTAGTAGAAGGCATTACATATCTTGTTATTCAGCTATACTATCAGGACACACGACACGACAAGAATTGAACACGGTTTAGATGAAATACTCCGGCCCATTCAATCGCTTTTATTGCTTATCCATACTATAGCAAATGCTTGTCTTGGCCTTGAAACTCTTATCTTCATATGGGCATTACGTTAATTAGTTATGGTCAGCGTTTTGTGACCAAGTCATTAGTGGCATTACTATCCGTCACGGCTTTGTTTATATAGGATAAGTTCCGGATGATATGGCTCTTAATTTGATATACAGGCCCACTGCAGTTCTAAATATCTCTGACAAAAGTTTTTTATACATTAGTGCAGCGTTCATTCTCAAAAATGTAATTCAAAACTGTATTTTATTTTGGAAAAGACATATACATTCTTTATAATTTTGCAACACGTCCAGCAAAATATGCATTTGTATTGTCTTTGATTAAAAATATAAATGGGTAGCTTATCAAAAAGTTCTCGTATATAACAGATATGATGGTAGAAACAGGAACCATGTTTATTAACCATGTTTTTATTAACTTATCACTAAAAGATTTTTATACAAACCTTGAGCAGCTGAAGCTTCAGTGCCATTTTCACGAACCTCAATTGTGACCTTCTGAAAGACTTCGCTCACCCTTAGCGGAGTTTGAGAAATGGAGGAGATATTAGCACTATTCTGGAATATTTCGACGATGCCTACACTTTTAAAAATATCAGTGAAACTCCTTTGGAAGTCCAAATTAAATTTCGGAAATTCAACGTGGAATGCTCGGCTTTCTGTTGCTGATATGTCTTTGAGGGCTACCATATGCAAATTATTTTGTATTCCCACGAAGCCATTCGTAGTTCTAGGCAGTAGAATAAGCATGGATATCTTCGAGTTCATATAGGGTATTTCTAAAGCATCTGCATCTAATTTTTCTACATATTTGTAATTATAATAACCATCATTTGCCATTGTGTCCACTAATACTTCACTTGACGGCGTATAAAATGGTTTTTGTTTCGTGAGATTCGGGTTAAATAGATGTCTCCAAAATCCTTTAAAGTAAATGGCGTAATCAGGTAATCAAGTAATCAAATATTATAGTAGAATTGAGTCAGAGAATTTTTGAGGCTCCGAAGAGTTAAAAGATAATACCAAATTGTTGCATAGAAACTGAACCAACTGAGGTCCTCAGATTAATTGAGAAATATTTGTTACCTAAACAGATTTAGTGAACTTGAGTCACGGTGAGTTTGCCTGGCAGTCACTGGTTGCCTGGGTGCAGGAAATGCATTATCCACTTGAAAGTCAAGCTGAAAGGACTTGTGAATTGTGAGTTGGTTGTTGGGTGTGAATCAAGGCTACTTAAGCTGTTAGATGCCAAGCTGAAATGAGAACAGAGCGTGTGTGGTAGATATGGCGTTTGGAGTTCGTGTTTATTCACCCTAAAATCGAGCTAATTTTCGACACCTTTTGGGCCGTTGGGCGGCAATGGATGGAGATGCATTGCATGCGAACTATGGATACAACAAATCTAAACACAATCGCACTTTAACTCTAATGGGCGAACTTTAAGTGGGCCAAAGTTTTACCTGAGCATGGGTATCGTATGTGATTCGAGCCATAAAGATAACACACACACACTCACACACACATACACTGAATGCTGATAAAAATCCCCGCAGAGACACAAGTTTGTGGCGAAAGCTTTGAGGTGGGTGTGGCCGGATGATAAGAATTCGAAGGGAGAGTGTATATATGTATATGTGTATGTTTGTGTGTGTGTGTGTGTGTGTGTGTGTGAGTATCGGCAATCACTTTGGCAGTCACGTGCAGCTGCTTAGCATCTACCCCCATCCATTGTATCGCAGCGGCCCGCGTCACTTGCTCCATTAACAATAGACGCCGCTGCGATATCAGGCGGCATCGGATTTTGAACTCGCAATCTCAGTGATTGACATGCGGGTTGCAGACACTCGAAGCACTCGAACCATTCGAGTCAGCGGACGTGTAGGCCGCCAGACAAACACCAATAAAAGGGGTTTATTGTTTGGGCTTTAAGATGTAGTCTCTTCATATACTAATAGAGGCTCTAATTTCCTTACAATTCTGCACTGGTGGCATGAGGTAGTGCTACAATAGAGCTGTTAGAATCAGCGATACACTAGCTATAAGTCAATGCTTGCTGGATTTTCTTCGATGTCGATTTATAATATAGTTGAAGCAACATAAAATATTCAGAAATTTATTTCTTCACATAAAATAAATCGTTATCAGCAAAGTTCCTCAAAGGAAATGAAAAAATTTAAACAATGTGCACTGCTTTTAATTTCTGTCATTATTTATATTACTTACCGATTTATAAACAATTATTTGAATCGTCCAATTCCATTAACTCGCAGCGAATATTTAGCACATCAGGCAATTTCGGAAATTCGTCAAAGACCATAAATCTCTATTTATTTTTTTTATTTATTAGACATTAGAGATAATTTTTGTCTTCATTTGATACACATTATTCGATTTGTGAATTGGATGAATATGTTAAAAGGCTAGGTGTTAATACCCAGAATTAATTCCAAATGTGGAGTATGTACCAGGACCACTGCAGTTTCTATTCTAAATATCTCTGACAAAAGTTTCCTATACATTAGTGCAGCGTTCATTCTCAAAAATGTAATTAAAAACTGTATTTTATTTTGGAAAAGAAATATTTTATACATGTTTATAATATTACAACACGTCCAGCAAAATATGCATTTGTATTGTCTTTGATTAAAAATATAAATGGACGGTTTATCAGAAAGTCCGTGTATATAACAGGTACGATTGCACTAATAGGAACCAAGATTGTGCCTGAAACAATTAACTTATCACTAAAAGATTTTGAGTCATAAATGTAGGGATACAAACCTTGGGAAGCTGAAGCTTCAGTGCCATTTTCACGAACCTCGATTGTGGCCTTCTGAAAGATTTCGCTCACCATTATGGGAGTTTGAGAAATGGAGGAGAAATTAGCACTATTCTGGAATATATCGACGATGCCTACACTTTTAAAAATATTAGTGAAACTCGTTTGGAAGTCCAAATTAAATTTCGGTAATTCAACGTGGAATGCTCGGCTTTCTGTTGGTGATATGTCTTTGAGGGTTACTTTATGCAATTTATTTTGTATTCCCTCGAAGCCATTCGGAGTTCTAGGCAGTAGAATAAGCATGGATATCTTTGAGTTCATATAGGGTATCTCTAAAGCATCTGCATCTAATATTTCTACATATTTGTAGTTATAATAACCATCATTTACCATTGTGTCCACTAATACTTCACTCGAAGGCGTATAAAATGGTTTTTGTTTCGTGAGACTCGGGTTAAATGGATGTCTCCAAAATCCTTTAAAGTAAATGGCGCTGATGAGCAATAGTTGTGTGTTGACATCTACGCCTGAGAGAAAACTCTGAATTTTGTCATTGGTTTTTTCAGCCACCCAGCGGTTGATATTGTGAACAGTTTCTGGATTTTTAAAATCTACTGATTGAACTTCGGAATTAAAAATCTGACGTAAAGCTGCTTGATACTCATCCAATATCTTTATACTATCTGCAGCGAAGAGGGTATTCGCCTTATATAGCTTTGCACTTTCAGATTCGTCAGTGTTGTTAAGCGGGACAAACTGATCGAGTTCGTTCTCTGTAGTGTTTTCAAATAGCAGAACACCGAGCTCTTCTTGAGTGTGGCCGGCTGCTCCTAGGAATAGTTGAAAGAGGCCGTCGATCAACAACTTAGGCGACACAACAATATTTGGCTGTAGCGTCCATTCCAAGGTTCTTCCAAGTAATTTCATGGCAATGTCGTTCGCAAAGGTCCATTGAACAACACACGATAGGCACAGGAGCACAAACACTGGGGAACAGGACAACTTCGTCATTTTGAAGGGACTGATCTGAACTGATTTGACGCTTACACCAGTTGGTCTTTTATAGGTCTTGTAGCGATAATTCATTTGGGACGGACAATTAATCGACTAAAAGGCATTAGATATCGTGGGGTTTCCAGCACAGATGCCCTCATCGCGAGCTGTGATTATATAATATCCGATTAAAAATGAGCGATACTAATTACATTAATTATCGTTACGTTAAATGCAACATGAGCATGTTTTAGTGCAAATAGTCCGACCCGTTCAGTTCCATTTATTAGATATGGTCATCGTTATGTAAGTTGTATGAAGACATTTACAAAAGAAAGGCAGTGTGTATAATGGTTTTGTGAAGAAGTATGTAACAAGCAGAAGGAATCATCGCAAACCCCACAAAGTATATATATTTTTGAACAGCACGACGTGCTGAATCGATATAGCCCTGTCCGTCTGTCCGTCCGTGCGTCCGTCCATATGTGTGCGTCGATCTCAGAAGTTATAAGAGCTAGAGAGCTGAAATTTTGCTTGCATGCTCGTGTGTACCATATGCAGTACGAGCTTATCATATTTTTTCGATAATAATCGAAAAATTGATTTTATTTTTTCAGCCAAATTTGAACACTTTTACACCTAGAGACTTCAGATTTACTGTGTATATATAGTTGATCGATACGATTTTGTTATTTACAGAATTTGGATATGTGTGCATAAAAACAAGTGCAGAATGAGTAGAATATCAGCTTAGAGGGTTCAGGGTATCTCCTAGTCGAGTAGTCTCGACTGGAGCCCTCTTACCTGTTTTTAAAATATAACTAATTGGTTTATGGCTAACTGATTAACAGAATGAAGATTCAACTGATTCTTGTACGGCTATTTAGTCTTAGAACAAAAAGTTTTTGTAGTTATGAAAACCTGAATTTGTTTTTGGATTTTTATATATATTTCTTTATTTTATTTATTTATTTATTTTATTTATTTTTTTTTGAATTGAAATTTCTCTTGTTATATTTTATTTTTGACTCAATATAGTTTTGATGTTTTTGCAGCTCCACTGCTATAGCTAAGCTGCAGCTATATTGTGAATTCAAAACTTACATAAAAAACTGAAGCACAATAGTCATATATCATATTATTATGATAGCAGAAACACTTGACTGGTCTGGCAGCCTGTCTGTTAGTCTGTCTGCTTGGGTCTGATAAAATAAATATAGTTTTGCCTGCAGAAATATTGTATTTCAATTGAGAATTGAGCAGCGAGTGCAACGAGCAAAATCTGAGACGTAATCAAATCATATGAAAAAGCTAAATCGAAGATGAATTCAAAATCGACGGCGAGACAAAGTCGACGTTCGAGTAGACGTTAACATTGACGTTGGCGTTGGCGTTGAGGTTGACGTTGACGTCGACTTTGACGACGATTTGCAGTTTGGGAAGGCTATAAAAAAGTCTTTGCATACTTTTGGGGATGGCGGATTTGCGCAACTAATGCGCCTGTTGTTGTTTGTGGCTTGTCAATGGTTATTGATTGTCTGGTGTCATGTGTGCCAGCCGAAGGGCCACAGACGATTGAAAGCAGGAGGCCGAGGATGAGCAGAGGCAACGTCTAAGCTGGCATGTAAAGCAAGACGGAAGCTTTTAAGATATTTTGTTCCCCTTCCGCAGTCAATGGCATTTGAAATGTGAGCTGAGATCCTGTTGTGTCTGTGTGTGTGTATGTGTGTGTGACTGTTAGCATTTACATTACAACAAAAAAGGTTTCCATATCATTTTTTTTCCTGTTTCCAACTCTCTAAAATCTGCACATGAAAAGCAAACGCATTTGCAAATATTCAAACATGAAATCGGCTTGGCAAATCCTCAAGAGCTAAGCAGCGTATCACAAACGGCTCAGCTCCATTTAAAGTGACATTGGGCGAGAGGAAAGCGATGAGCGAAATACAGAGAGAGAGAGAGAGAGAGAGAGGGAGGGAGATAGAGAGAGAGGGTGGTGCACAGTTGGCTGACAGTTGGACATGCGGGAGCGTGAAAACTTTAACAAAAACTTTGTCATAACTTGCTGAATTAAATTTGTAAAAGTCGAGCATTGAGCTTGCAGCGATAGAAGCTTCCCCTTATGCCCTCCACCCCCTCTGCACGCTCACGAACTTTGGCAAATGGGCATTGCTTAGTTTTGGGCGTCGATTGCGATATGACAGCGCAGTTGGTTGCACTTTTCTAGGCTGCCGGCTTCTGGCTGCTGGCTGCTGGCTGTTGGCTGGTTAGCAATTGCTACCCAAAACGTTAACTATCGACGCTTTCACTCGCACTGCTTTTGTCTGGCTGAAAGTGTTTAGAACAATATTGCATAGTTGTTGGGCTGACATGGCAAAAGAAAAAAGGTGCAGAGCTGAGTGCAAGAATGTCGTCCCGTTAGCCCAAAATAATGATCACATATGCTGCCGACATGGAAACTTTGCGAGCCACTCACACACACACACACATATATTAAATGCAGTGAATCCACTTTTGTAAGCTTACCTTGTGATCGAATTTACTGCTTGCTTACAGCTTTAATAATTACAGTTATTGTTGGTTGAATTGGATATTTTGTTGGCTTGAGATGTTACTTAGCTATGCCATCATTAGAATGCCATTATATATTCATATATTGCAAAGGATTTGATTTATTTATATATTGGAAGTTAGAGTTTATACAAAAAGTCGAAATCGTTTTTATTTTATTATTCTATTTATTAATTTATTTCATTTATATATTTGTAAGTGTGTAGAAGATAGAAAATGATTAATTACGAAGTGTTTATTATTATAATAGGAAGTGTATCTTATAAATCAGCTCGAGTTGTCAAATGCGACCCTTCAAATTTGTGAATGTATACGATTTGAGTTCTTATTTATTTATTTTATATAATTAATATTGAAATGTGAATGATTGTACACATATTCACTTTTATTTCTTAGACGAATCCATGGCGTCATGATTAGAGAGAATGTCTGCCTTAGACATGCTATGAAATGTGTGTGAAGGGGAGTAAGGAGCGGGTGTAGAAGAGAGTGAATACCGGCTGGGCGTGACTCTTCGCATTACGCTCAGTTATCAGTAGAATCCTCAGGTTTAATACACGTTGATGTGCTACTTTGAATGATCACTCCAGTCGGGTTTATGGGGACCAATTACCGTATCGAAATCCACAATAAAGTCAAGGCTTAGTTGAACAGTTGACATGTCCCAGGGCTGCACAGTTGCAGTGATTGATTTGGACAGTCAAGCCAAAAAGTTTCGGTCTGCAAGTTTTGGCTTGTCAAGCGAGTTAGTTAGCTTCTTCATATTCGGCATGGCAATTCCGCAACAATATTCAACTGAGTGCTCAAAAGTGTCTTCGAGTATGCGTTGATTTGCAGTCGCTGGCCACAAAAAGCACATGCCAGCCCAGTTCCATTCGTAATCCCAATCCCGATCCCAATGCCAATGGCGATGGCGATGGCAATGCGCGCTTCGTTTGCTTTGCAGCCGTTTTGCATGAATATGCATGAGCAGCTACAAGCCATCAAAACAAACCACCACAAACCACTTGCACACTTGCTGTCGAGGGTAAAGAGACAAAAAAGAAATGAAGAGAAAAGCAACTAGCTCTAGCTATAGTTGGAGTTGCTTTAAGAGCTGAAAGATGCGCGGTGTTCTCTGGGCGTTGCCATACGATATTTAACCGCGTGACTAACGAGTCTATCGTTGATGGCGACCAGACTCGAGACTCCACACTCCACACTCCACTCCACTTCAGTTCGCCACACGCCACATCACAACATGTGAACAGCACAGCAAACTAAACCGATGCCAATGGCAGCCAGCATGGCGTATACTTGACGTCCGGTGCCCGTTATACGTTGTCCGTTGCTCGACAACTTTGCTGCTGCTGTTTGACGTGTTGAGTTTAATTGGAACACTCGACGACGTTGCTTGATGGCCATGTTGCTGGTGATGTTACCATTTTGCTGTGGCTCGGCGCTTCAATCGTGTTGTTGCATTAATTAATGCAGTCGCAAAAAAAAAAAAAATAAATAAATAAAATAAAATAAAATGAAACACACTATACTTATATAAATATATAAATTTTTTTTATTTTATTTTTTTTTTTTTTCGGCAGCACAGCAGCCTTCCTCTGTCGCATCTCTGGCCAACATCATTAAAGCTGTTGCGTTTGCTCAAATCAAGGCGTTGATTGCTGTCTTTTAGGGTGGACCTTCACGTATGTATGTGTCAAATGAGCTTTAGATGTGCTAGAAAATAATTCATAAATTTTAACGAGCGAGATAGAAGCCTTTATAGTGAGAGTTTGAAGCTATCACGAATTACTTGTTTCCCCCCCTCAAAACCCATCAAACCTATAATGGAGCGTAAAGAGAATGTTGAATGCAAATACCAAATATACTTGTAATAGAAAATGCTTTGTTGTTGTGGGAAACTCTCGCAAGTGTCAGCCAATGTCTCTCTCTCTCTCTCTCGCTTTGTCTATCTTCTGTCTGCCTCAATTTTTGCTTTTATAGAGTCATGGGCTGTTGTAGTTGTTGTTGTTGTTGTTGTGTATTATGTTGCATTTGCAATGCAAATGCTTTTGTGCTTTTTTCCTGCCGTCGTTGCCAACACGACAACGACAACAACAACAATAGTAACGAGTACATGCTGCCGCTGTTGTTGTTACTTTTGAATAGCTCTTTATTTCCTTACTGCGGATGCCATAGTGCGTGCATGTGTGCGCCTAGCATTTCCTTTCAGCTGTTTATACTTCTAATAACAATTTTCCATCATTTTATGCATCGATGCACAGGCACAGTCCCTTACTTACACACACACACACCCACAAATGCTATAAGAGGAGCACTGAATCATGAGATGCAAGCATAATTGAAATGTGCTTCACTTCAATGTCATTTCAATTGAATGAACATGAACAATTTAGCATGAACAAATTTTATTTTAATATATATGTTTTTATTTATTTATTTATTTATTTTTAATTTTTATTTGGCAGCATTTCTAAAAGCAGTTCTCATGAGCTCAAACTGACTCTTCGATTAGATTTCCAGCTATTATTGCCATATAAGACAAATCCCTCCTGTTGGATAATCGTGAAATTTAAACGATCGACAGAAATAAAACGAATCATTTCTCGACTAGATGTCATTTGTTTTCCAATGTTAATGTCATATCACATTATCAGGAACTGCACCTCCTCCACATAACCCGGTTATGTTATTTAATATTAATGTTAATAGCATAGCCCTTTGGGCTCTCCGGTAAGCACTTATTATTTTACTGACTTTACTTTGACTCTGTGCACAGAGCCATCTTTCTTTTCCGTTCAAAGTGAATCAAAAGAGAAATAACTAAGAGATGTGTATATTTATTTATTTTTTATTTCAACTTATAAACGCCAATGCAACTATTTTCTTACATATCCAATGCGTCCAGCTAAAAAAATATTGAAATTATCCTTGACAAAAAATATAAACGGTTTAAGTATATGAGCGGTTGGCAGACCTTTAAACTTTATGTTTGCAGCTGAAATATTCAAGGAAATCAGATAAAGTTTATTTCATCGAAAAATAAAAATATAGAGACATACCTCTGTAAGATGCGGCTTCGGTATGCGTCCCATTCATCATAAACTTTGTTTTCTGTATGAGATCATGCAGAAGTATTTTTTGTCTCTTATTTGTTTCCATTGGTCTTAGATTGGCAGAAGTTTTAAATAGTCGAGTGATTCCCAAATATTCAAATATGTTTTTGTAGTTCTGGGTAGTTTGTATGCTAAAGTGCGGCAATACCAGTTCGAATAGTCTTGCTCTGACTGGTGCAAGTTGCGCCATCGTTATTTCATGTAAATTGCTTTCAATAGTTTCAATATCACTGTTGTCTTTTGGCATCAGGATCACAAGATTCATATTGCCTTTCGTAAAAGGTATGGCTATGAGGTCTGCATTGATCTCTTTTAAAAAAGAGAATCTCAAGAAAGCCCTGCTGATCGTTGCGTTTACTGTAAAATTAGCTTCAACTCCATCGAGTAATTCTGTATTAAATGTTGCATTTATGGTACTTGGACTTGGTAATGATAGAGCTCCATTATAGTACAAGGCACTGAAAATCATAAGCTTTGCGCCTAAGGGAGTTCTACGTATCATATGTGTTATACGGTTGTCGGTATTGTTTGCCACCCACTCATTGATAACCTTAGCAGCAGCAATAGGGTTCCTAAAGTCGACTGTTTTATAGTCAGTAGAAAGTAGATCAATAATCATGCTGGTATACTCATCAGTTAATTCAATATTCTCGGACCCAAATAGACCTGTGGTCATAGTTAATGCACCTGCTAGATTTTTAGCAATGCGAGCTTTATTCTTCTCAAAGGCGTCGAGTACCTGAATCTTTGTCTTGCCTTCAACTTTTAGAAATTTCGAGATTTCACGTCGTGTCTGGCCACTAGCTCCCAAATATATTGGATAAATACTTTCGATCAGCAATTGAGGCGACATAACAAAATTGAGCTGTTTGGTCCTTTGAAGAACTGTTCCAATCACCGTCGTGGCTAAGTTGGCCAGGGTTAATTGAAGGAAACTTGTTAGTAGGAGCACAAACAGGGGATACCGACAGAGCTTCGCCATTCTAGATAAACTGTTCTGGACCTTACATCCGAGGGTCTTATATGGGTTCTGGGAAGATAATTCATTAGACTCGCATTATTCCGTTATATGTCATTACATTTATGATTAGCTGCGGTTATATAAAGGGAAATTACTGTAAATGGAAAATCAGTGTTTTGATGCAATAAAATCGACGAACAGACAGGGCGGGGCATACCAAAGTAATTCTTATACATGGCAGTCCAGATTTTTTGAGACTTTTTAAAATTGAAACAAATAAGAATGCACTTGACTTCGAGATCCCCTGAAGCCCTTGAAGAATTGATAATCCAATATATTCCAATTATTTTCATAAACAATAGACTGTTGACTGCGCTTGGGATGCAGTCTATTGGTAAGTGTTGAAAACGGAAATGATTGACAAATATAAGACTATAATCATTTATTAATTAATTTATTTTTATAAATATCCAACGCGTCCAGCCAAATAAATATTGTAATCATCTTTGACTAAAAATATAAATGGATGTCTTACATAAACGCATGGCATGTTTCTATTTCCTGTCCAGCCAACTGAAAAAGTAAAACAAATCAGATAAAGGATATTATTTTAAAATGGAAAGGGAGAAGACGAAATACAAACTTCTGCCAGATGCGGCTTCAGAATGCGCTGCTTTGTTAGTAAATTCAGTTTTCTGTGTGACATCTTCCAGATATACGCCTTTTTTATGTCCTGCCATTGGTTTGAGACTAGCAGAAGATTCAAGCATTCCACTGATATTAAAATATCTAAAAATATTTCTGTATCTCTGAGTAGTTTTAATGGAGAAGTGTGGCAATATTAATTCTAATAGTACGGTAGATCCCCTTGGTGGTTTCAGATCCGCCATCTTGACTTTATGCAGGTTTTCTTCAATTGATTGAAGATCATTCGGAACTAGTGGCATCAGGATCAAGAGGTGCAGGTTGCCTTTGGTATAAGGTATGGCTATGATATTTGAATTAATTGCTCTTATGTAATAGTATGGTAAGTAAGCTCTAGAGATCGTCGCATTTACCGTATATTTGTACTCATCTCCATCGAATAAATTTGAAAAAAATGTGTAATTTATGTCTCTCAAATATGGCAACCATAGAGTTCCACTAAAGTACAAGGCACCGAAGATCATGAGCTGTGCGCTTGGGGGAATTCTAGTAATCAATTCGGTTATGTGGTTTTTGGTATTGTTTGCCACCCACTCATTGATAGCCTTAGCCGCAAGAGTAGGTTTCGTAAAATCGACGGTTTGATAATCTGTTTTAAGTAGATGATTTAACATATTTTTATACTCATCATATAATGGAACCTTATCAGAGGTAAATAGACCCATGGCTATATTCATATATCGAGCGATAGTAATTCTATATCTTTCAAAATCCGATACTGCTTGTACCTTGGTTTTGCCACGAAGTTGTAGAAATTGCGTGATTTCACGTAGTGTCTCGCCACTAGCTCCCAAATACATTGGATAAATACTTTCGATCAGCAATTGAGGCGACATAACAAAATTGAGCGGTTTTGTCCGTCGTAAAACTGTTGAAACTACCGTCGTGGCTAAGTTGGCCAGGATCAATTGAAGAAAACTTGTTAGTAGGAGCACAAACAGGGGATACCGACAGAGCTTCGCCATTCTAGATAAACTGTTCTGTACATTATATCCGACAGTCTCATATGAGTTCTGGAACGATAATTCATTGGTCTCGCATTATTCCGTTTAATGCTATGTTTTTTAGCTGTAATTATGATTAGCTGCAATTATATAAGGTTAATTATAATACGCTACACCCATTAAAACTGAGAAATCAGTGTGGGTTGGTATTGATTGGTTTTGTATGTTGCAAACAAACAGGGGTCTGGCATACCCCCTAAAGCCTATATATATCGTGCTCTTCTTGTTTAAGCAGGCCAAACTGAAAAAATAAAACAGTTCAAGCATTTTTTGACTATATCAAGAATTTACTTATTATTTTATAAGCCCAATGCGTCCAGCCAAATAAATATTAAACTTGTCTTTGACTAAAAATATGAATGGATGAAGTAAACTGATGCGTGCCAAACCATTGCTTCTGTGTAGGCTTGCTGGAATAATAGAGCAATTCAGATAAATAATATTCCTTTAAAGAAGAATGTGAAAGTGACACCAACCTCTGCCTGATGCGCCTTGAGAATGCGATTTGAACTGTTTAAATTCAATTTTTTGTATGATGTCTTGCAAAAATGTTTTACTTCGATATGAAATCGTTCGATCGTCGTGTATATATTCAAAAACACTTTTGTAGTTCTGGGTAGATTTTACGGTAAAGTATGGTATTATCAATTCGAATGTTTTTCTTTTCTTTGGTGCAAGTCGCGATACATTTACTTTATGAAGGTTATTTTCAATAGTTTGAATATCATTCTTTTCTTTCGGTATCAAGAACACAAGTTTCACCTTGCTCTTGATATAAGGTACAGATACGATGTCTGCATTTATTTCTTTTAGGAAATCGTATTGTAAGCGAATTTTAGTCAACGTCGCGCTTACATTGAAGCGGGATTCTGTTCCACCGATTAAAGTTGAATAAAATGTTTCAGTTATTTCTTTCGGATTTGGTAATGATAGATTTCCGTTAAAGTACAAGGCACTGAAAAGCATAAGCTTTGCGCCTAAGGGAGTTTTATCAATCAGATGTGTTATATGGTTGTCCGTATTGTTCGCCACCCACTCATTGATAACCTTAGCAGCAGCAGTAGGTCTCTTAAAGTCGACCGTTTGATAGTCAGTATTAAGTATACCAATAAGTATGTTTGTATACTCATCAGGGATTTTATTTTTGTTGGACCCAAATAAAGCTGTGGCCATAGTTACTGTTCCTTTTAAAGATTGAGCAATGCGCTTTCTGTCACTCTCAAACTCCGTCAGTACTCGGAGCTTTGTTTCGTCTTCAATTTTTAGAAATTTAGAGATTTCACGTAAAGTATCGCCACCAGCTCCCACATAGATTGGATAAAGACTTTCGATCAGTAATCGGGGCGACATAACAAAATTGAGCGTTTTAGTCTTTTTGAAAACGGATGCAATTATCGTCGTGGCTATGTCGGCCAGGGTCAATTGAAGAAAACTTGATAGTAGGAGCACAAACAGGGGATACCGACAGAGCTTCGCCATTCTGGACAAACTGTTCTAGACCTTACATCCGAAGACTTATATGGGTTCCGGAAAGATAATTCATTAGACTCGCATTATTCCGCTAAATGATATGCCATTTAGTAGTTGTTGAATTCCTGTGGTATCTGTATCTGTATCTGTATCTGTATCTGTATCTGTATCTGTATCTGTATCTGTATCTGTATCTGTATCTGTATCTGTATCTGTATCTGTATCTGTATCTGTATCTGTATCTGTATCTGTATCTGTATCTGTATCTGTATCTGTATCTGTATCTGTATCTGTATCTGTATCTGTATCTGTATCTGTATCTGTATCTGTATCTGTATCTGTATCTGTATCTGTATCTGTATCTGTATCTGTATCTGTATCTGTATCTGTATCTGTATCTGTATCTGTATCTGTATCTGTATCTGTATCTGTATCTGTATCTGTATCTGTATCTGTATCTGTATCTGTATCTGTATCTGTATCTGTATCTGTATCTGTATCTGTATCTGTATCTGTATCTGTATCTGTATCTGTATCTGTATCTGTATCTGTATCTGTATCTGTATCTGTATCTGTATCTGTATCTGTATCTGTATCTGTATCTGTATCTGTATCTGTATCTGTATCTGTATCTGTATCTGTATCTGTATCTGTATCTGTATCTGTATCTGTATCTGTATCTGTATCTGTATCTGTATCTGTATCTGTATCTGTATCTGTATCTGTATCTGTATCTGTATCTGTATCTGTATCTGTATCTGTATCTGTATCTGTAGAGCTTTAAAGAGATATTCCTGGTTATTCCAGCGCATGGTGCATCTGTTTATAGCTTGAGGGCGTTGCATTGTCGCCCATGTTTTCGTTGGGCTTGTGTTCCTTTTTATGGCAAAGTAACTGAATGACAAGCACACAGAACGCACCACAACGCAGCGCAATGCAAACAAACATCAGCTCTGAAATAGCTGATGGAGTAGTTGCTAGTTGCAAGTGTTTGTTGTTCTTTCGGTTGCCATTGCCGTTGCATTCCATTAACATTACAAATGTATTCATTGTTCGCAACTGTAGAGCAGCAGCGGCAGCAGCAGCAGCAGCAACAACAACAACAACTGCAACAATGACGCTATTTTACGCCGCATTATGCGAAAATGTGGCAAGTGATAGAAGGGATAATGCCTGCTCTATGCTGGCATGGCACACGCTCACGCAGCAGCGACAATAGCAACAACTGCAACAAGAACAACAATCAAGCGACGCAACAACAGTATGTTTTTTTCCGTTCTTCTTATGCGCAAGTGGCTTTATTATTTGTTTTTGCATACATCGCTAATATGCCAGCAGTGTGTGTGTGGGTGGATGTGTGTGTGTGAGTGTGTGATGCTATATCGACGCTGACAGTCTGTCGAGGCGGAAGAGAACATGCAATGCCTAGACACAGATTTCATACTCTAACAAGGCTGCTCTATATATGTAAGTATATAGAGTGACAGAGAGTGAGTGAGATAGAGAGCGAGAAAGAGAGAAAATCGGACAGAGATAAAGAAAGACGGATAGAAACGAAGGAAGGAGGAAAGAGAGGGAAAGTATATGTTGGAGAGAGACAGAGACGCACAGATTTTTAAAGGAGAAGTAGATAAAAACAAGACCAGAAGACAGTGAGATCGACGGATAGAGGAATGTACACCAAAGGTTGCCTACGTTTTATCATTATGGATATAGACTATTTCAAGCAGACGTACACTAGCTGAGTTACTCGAAGAAAGTGCGAAAGAGAGAGAGAGAGAGCGCGAGAGACAGTCTCGCAGACATAGTTTCACCCCGCCCACTTACTCCGCCATTAGCCCGCCCGCATTGTCACATTGACAGTGCTCAATTGGCTGGACCCATAAGAGGATAGGGTATTAATAGCAGCTACGACGGCAAAATCACAGCATGTCAAATTGTTTTCCTATTATTGTTGCCATTGTAGTCGCTGTCATCGCGCGCGTGTGTGTGTGTGGGTGTGTAGATGTGTGTGTTGGGTGTTGTTGATAAAGCTGATGTTCTTGTTGGGCTTATCGTTATTTAAATTAGCATTACAATGCATTCATACAAACAGCTACAGGCACACGCATGTCTGCCATATTGTTTTGGAAGGCGAATTGCAATTGTGTGTGTGTGTGTTAGTGCGTTGGTTTTTTCATTTCTCTTAAAGGCCAACAACAAAATAGGTTACGCGCTTTTCAGCTTCTGTCACCCCTTTTTGTGTGTTATTGTGGCAGCATTTATTAAATTTTTAATGAAACAAAAGTTGCGACACTGGCGATTGACAAGCCGGCGACTTAACTGACTCTGTGAAACGTACACATGGCGTATGTGTGATTTACTTTTATTTGCTCTACTCTGCCCGCCTTTATTTAGACTGTTTACCATGCATGCACGTTCACAACACTTTATTAAAATTTAAATGAGTTGAAAATATGATGAAAAATTCAGCGAAAATGTGTCAGTAGGACTACATCGAAAAGTTAAGCATGTTGAAGTTTATTGCGAATCAGATTGATATGATATAACTACATATGCATAGACTTCAACTTTTCAACACTTTCAGCTAATGTCATTGGAGCACACTCAGAATCTGCTCATGTGCCGCAATCCAGCTCAGTATGGAGAAAGAGAGAGCTAAGCCGGCTCAGGTTTAAGTCAATACAAACAAAGTGCTAAACAATGTATGTGAATGTATGTGTATATGAACTGTTCGTAGCTAAGGTTTAAAATGCATTTTAGATATAAAATAAATTTCATAGAAATAGCTAAAGTATAAAATAGTGAATAGAATAAACAAAGTGCAGATAGATTTGGAAACGATTTCTCTGCGAGTTAGGGAAAAGAAAACAAAAACAAAATGAATGAAAATAAAGACATTTCATACATCATTGAGAAATGCTAGAAATGTATTATAAATTTTACACAACGCTGGCAGAGAGATGTGCCTGAACGACAATGCAAGATGAATAGGGTCTTCAGCATTTGCCGCGTTTTTCATTGAGAACATTTTTTAGTTTGGCTAAGAGAAGCGATACGCTTGAATGGGAAGCAAAAATCTACTTTGATGTTATGCAATCGTGCGAGGCTGAGGTGAATGGATGGCATCAGCACGGAAGGTAGAGAGAAGGAGACAGAGAGAGAGAGAGAGAGAGAGAGAGAGACACTGTTAGTGTTTTGGCCATGGCTTCTGCCTGGCTTGCTGCGCAGACAGGTGTGCGAAATAACTGGCAAATATTTTACAGCTGTCGCTTTTTTGTGCATGTAATTTAGCATTTATTTGTTTGCTTTTTTGCCAAATCACAAGAGCACGCAGAGTTGGGAGAGAGCGTATTTCGACAGTTCGAGTCATTGCTCAGGCTTCATGGCCGCCTTGTACAATTATTAGTTGACTTTGACATTTAAAGAATGATTGCATCAATTATGTTGCCTCACATGGCGTGTTGCCTTATCAACCTACTACACACTGTTATGTAAGATCAACATCTATTTATATAGAAAATATAATAGGCTAGCATTTTGCAGTCCCCTCCAACTGACTGCTTAATACTCGCTCAACCTCTGAAAAAGTAGCAAAGCTCAGCGCAAAATGAATGAGAAATTTCAGTCAACTGTGATTCGCCAGCCAAATTTGTACATCTCTATATAACTCCATAAACCCAAAATGTATTTAGCTTATAGCTGCGGTAAATCCTTGACTTTATGTTTTAGGCAATATTTCATCAAAACTAATATTCTATTTTTCTTTTTCTTTTCCTTTTCATTCTTGGAGCACAGGTTATCGTAGCCGGAAAAGCATTTTGGTTTCTATTAAGCTCTGCCCAGGGTTTATGTCTGATAACCCTGAAGCGATACTTTTGGCAGTTTAAAAAAGATTGTATATATATTTATACTATATATATTTTATAAATTTTTCGTGCTGCTTAAAAAAGAATGAATTTTATTAATGTCATCGACTAAGCGGATTTGTGTAGCAACCTAATCTGGGTTTAATCACTTTATATTAAAATAGAAATTTATTTAATCTGCTTCTACAACTTCTTTAACTATAAATGCTTTCAAAATAAAAAGAAATTTTTTAAAATGGTATTTATATTTTTAAAGATTTTTTTATTGTGGTTTACTTTAAGAAAAGTTGATTTAAAACGTATATTTATTTACATTTTAATATTTGTAAGTTTTTTTTGAATTCATTTATATTTTTAAATAATTTGTCCTACATATCTCACATATCTTACATATTCAAAGAGAATTTATTTAAATGTTGTACTTCATTATGAAATTCTTTGTTTATATTTGTATTCATTTATATTTTCTACAAATTACAATTTTTTAATTTACTGAGCAAGTCGTTATTCAAATGATGTTAGGGGAGTACGATCTAGGTTGGCGTTGTTGCTGGGCTGTGTGTTCTGTCTAGTTGGGGCTCACAAGCTGTGAGCCAAGTCAACATACGAAAATCAACAACACTCGAAACAAACAAATGAAAATAACCTTAAACTAGAGCAGGTAGCTTTCCAGGAGCCAACTCGTTCCAACAGCATCCGACATAAACAGAAACAGAAAACAGCAAACAGCAACACGAAACATCCAAATTGAAACACAGCATGCCCAACACGGACGACGAGGGCGCAAGGCCCTGTAAGCGCCAACGTTTGAACAGCGATGTGGAGCCGAGCGGTGCGGGGCAGACGGATCCGTCGAGCGGTTCGAGCACAGCCGATGTGGCGCGCGGCGAGCCGGAGCTAAGCGAACGTCTGCGCAAGGTAATGCTATGCACCGTGTGCCTGGAGCTGCCCCACCCGGATGATAGCTATCAGTGCACCCTGGGGCACATCGTGTGCGAGGATTGCGTGACCCGCCTGCTGGCCGAGGCGGTGCTGAACAGTCGCGATGCCCAGTGCCCGCACTGCCGCACCCACATTAGCTGGCAGGAGCTGACGAAGAATCTGGCCGTGGGCCAGACGCTCTGGGAGCTGCCGAAAAGCTGCTCGGACTGTGAACAGCAAATGGAATACAAGTCCCTGGCCAAACATCTGAAAACGGAGTGTTCCAAGCGCCTGGTGCACTGCCAGTACCGCTGCCTGGGCTGCACCTGGCAGGGCTGCCAGGAGGACAGCATTCAGCACGAGGCCAACTGCAATTATCTGCAATTGTCGAGCGATGAGATTCTGACCGCACTGGACACCATCGACCAGCTGGAACAGATGGCTGTCCACTCGCTGCGCCAGTGCCATCGGCAGCTGAGTGCCAAGCGGATCTCATATGAGGATCTGGACCTGCGCTGGCCCCTGCACACGTGTCGCCTGGACGCCGAGGTCCGCTTCCAAGCGCCCACCATTTATGTGTTCGAGGAGACCTGGCGTGTGCGCATCCGGCTGGTGGTCACTGGCCCCGGCAACGAGCGCCAGCTGAGCTACAGCCTGAAGATCCTATCATCGCCGCGTGAGATACTCTCGGTGAAATACTTTGCCACCCTGCCGGCGGTATATGTGCGGCCCAAGCAGCTGATGGACGTGGAGCCGGAGCTGAACGAGGCATACTATAATTTGGCCGGCCAGAGCTCCGACTTCAAGCTGCTGCCAATGAGCTGCCCCTTAGCCACTTACCGTCTGCTGGCCATGCCGTGCATGAAACTGCGACTCTGGATGATGTTGAACTAATTACGAAATGATGAACAGTGGAGTTGGACTATTTTGCAAGTTCTTAAACATTTATTAGCATCGTTCGTTGTATGTTATATGTGAATTTATTGCTTCTTATTTTCTTCGATATCCTTGCTGAGCTTGTCAACCCAGCTACTGAACAGCTTGGCGGCGTCCGAGCCGAACTCTTGAGCGCGATCCGAAATCAGCTGTCCGGTTTTCTTCAACTCCTGCATATGAACATATGGGACACAGTCAATAAAACTAGTCAAAACTCAACTCAACTCAGATCATCGATCAACGATCAACAATCTTCGCATTGGTAAAGTAAAGTACTTACGGCAGTATTCTTTTCGTTGAACAACTGCTTCACGCTGTCGACGAAGGGCTGCAGAGCCGGGCCCAGAGAGGGTGCTTCAACGGAGGGTGCGTCACGAGCCACGCGGTGTCCGTTGCAGATCTACGGATAGAACGAAACGAAAAAGAAAAACATGAGAGCTAATCCCAAACAGATGGACACACCCATTGGACTTACGGCAACGAGTGCGACGAGCACGAAGAGGATAGCGATCTTGGCCATTTTATGTTGTTCTGGAAAAGGACTTATAGCTCTGCACAGTCGAAGACGAAGCTGAGTACTGAATTAGCGGCTGGCAGTTCATTTCTAACAACACCTCGTTTTGCGTCTTCTATGCGTCTTCTTTTTGAGACAGCAGCCCGATAGACCCGATAGACTTGGGACCACTTATCAGTCAAGCGTTGAGCCATGTGGTGGTCAGAGGTCAGGGGCGGCATACGGCATGCAGTCGATAGTTGTTTGCACGTTGATTGTAATTTCGTGTATGTGTGTGTGTGTGTGTGGAAACCGGCCACACATGCCACAAGCTCAACTTTTATTTTCATAGAGACCCAAACAAAAACCGAAAAAATATTTGTATATGAGCAAATTGATTCATATTTGTATAACGTTATCAAATCATTTATTGTGAACTAGAACTATATATGTATGTACATATATATACAAAATGGGCAGTCGGAATAGATTTGAGTAACTCTTTTACTTGCCTTTGGTATTTATTTTCTGCAATACATTTAATGTAAAGCAATGAAAAGATAGGAAGGTAGAGCACAAATTTGAATCCACATATAATAGATAAAAGCAAATATTTTTAAATAGAAATGTAGTAGTAATAGTAGTAGTAGTAGAGGTAGTAGTAGTAGTAGTTGTAATAGTATATATTGTAGCAGTAGTAGTAGGAGTAGTAATAGTAGTAGTAATAGCAGTAGAGGTAATAGTAGTAGTAATAGTAGTAGTAATAGCAGTAGAGGTAATAGTAGTAGTAATAGCAGTAGAGGTAATAGTAGTTGTAATAGTAATAGTAGTAGTAGTAGTAATAGTAGTAGGTTTAGTAGTAGTAGAAGTAGTAGTTGCAGTAGTAGTAGTAGTAGTAGTTGTGATAGTAGTATATATTGTAGCAGTAGTAGTAGTTGTAATAGTAGTATATATTGTAGCAGTAGTAGTAGTTGTAATAGTAGTATATATTGTAGCAGTAGTAGTAGGAGTAGTAATAGTAGTAATAATAGCAGTAGAGGTAATAGTAGTAGTAATAGTAGTAGTAATAGCAGTAGATGTAATAGTAATAGTAATAGTAGTAGTAATAGCAGTAGTAGTAATAGTAATAGTAGTAGACTATATAGTAGCAGTTAATGTAGAAATAGTAGTAGTAATAGCAGGAGGTGTGGTAAGAGTAGTATTATTGGACATTCAATACTTTGACAACAATTTAAAGCAAATATTGTGTTTATCTTTGATTAAAAAAAAAAAAAAAAAAACCTGGGTCAGCCGAACAAGTGCTAAGTCGTACTACTATATTTATTGCCGCAGCTAAAAATTGCAGATGCCTTGTTGTCTCGTTCATCGCAAAATATGCAAATGTTTTTAGACCACAAACAAATATGAAACAGTCAGTAACGTGCGACAACTTCTGACTTCATATGACTTTTGCCTATCATATACTTCGCGACTTTTATCAAATTGAATTCACTTCTCAGAATAGTATTATTTTCTCTTTATTACCTCCATTCAATGGAATTGTTATTGCTTACGCCTACATTATACATTTTCATTAATATATTTTGTACATATGTAAAAGGAATTTTAATTTTGTTGCAGGCTCTTCTTATGGTTCTCCAAAAATTTATTGGTGTTGTCAATGAACTCGTTGGCATATTTCTTCATAGCCTCCGTGTCGATTTGAAGATTTTTGAAATTGTTGAATATATTGTTAATTTGAGCGCCAAGCGGCTGGAGTGGATCATTGTTTTGCGTTGTAGCCTCATCGGCGGCGCAGAACTGAAAATACAATTGAGAAACACATACGAGACCATAAATACACTGACTCCAATTGATCCACTTGAGGTGGCATGTGTTTCACTTACCACAAATAGCGCAAAGAGCAGAAAAACAAGAGCGATCTTTGCCATTATTAGGGATTTTTTTTATTTTCAGTGTGGCACCAAGCAGTCAAGCAACGAAATGTGTACTAATAAAACGATGAACCAGAAACCCAAATTGAGGCCTCACTTGAAGAACTTCGCCTCGACATCGCACGTGCTCGACGGCACTTATCAGCTCCGAAATTGTGATCAGCTGTGCGCAGCGAGCATCGAAAGAGATTTAGGGAACTCGGCGTAAATAACACTGGATTTTAATTCCGGTTTTGTTTTTGTTGTTGCTCTTAGCATTTTGCTATCTGTGTAGCAGCAATCAAATTTCATATTAAAATATCAAAGTATTGAAAATTACGAAATTTGTTCCATAAGTTATTTATATTATTTATTAAAGTAAAATTAAATTTTTTATTTCTGATGATGTTCCGTTTAAAAAATGATGTTTCTCCTTCACAATAGTTCCTTCAATTAATAAAATATCTGAAGTGAAGGAGCTGTGTCTGCCAACAAAGTTTCACAAGAAAATTTAAAAAGAAAATATACATACGTAAGCCTTAAAGAATTGAAAATTTGCAATACTCTTCAAACAGACCTCGTACATAAGACTTTAATCAGCTATAGCTCTTTTAGCTAATTATATAAAGTACTACGCCTTGAGGTACTTAGAGCCCAGAGATGTTGGGCTACAACAAGCAAGTAAGGGTGTTGGGAAGTCGACTATCAGCTGGTGCTTTTCTTCACTTTGTTGATTTCATTTTGAGCTTTGCTTAGAGACTTTGTGAATAAACGTGTAGCTTAATAGCTTTCTTTATGTGTTTGTTAGAGTAATATAAAATATGAAATAATATTTATGTAAATAAGAGAAACTCACTCACACTCGCTATTCTGAAAAAATAATCAGTAATATATTTAAATATATGTATATCTGTATATACTCATATATATACTATGCTCAATAATTGCAAAAATAAAGTTTCTACTTGATGGAATTTTATGCAATGCATCTATGTAGTATAACTCTCAAAACTGTGTTCATGGAAATCTCAACAGTATGCTTTGCTCTATTAAATTCACATTCGTAATATAGTTTTAAACAATTGTATTCCAGTTTGGTTCAGCTTCTTTCTGTTTTGTTTATTTCATGAAGGCAAACTTTGATCATATTTATTAAAATTAAAAAGTATTCAATCTGCACTTGATTCGAATTCGATTCGAATGCATGATTTACGCTTTCTTTTCGGTCAACTTTTCGGCTTCCTTTTGGGTGTCCGTTAAGAACTTTTTGGCATTTTCACCGAATTTCTCGACGAACTCCTTGACTTTTTCCTGGTCGACGTGCTCGTTAAAGTAATCCTTGACCTCCTTCAGACGCGCTTCAATAGTGGCCTGAATATCGTCCAGTGCAGTCGAATCCTTTTTCACCTCATCGCCGGTGCACACCTGTAGCAAGCAATTATCTTTAGAGTCTGGCACGGAATCGGGCATCAGTTCAATTGACTTACAACAACAAAGGCGCACACTAGCAAAAGCAACACAAATTTGGCCATTATGAAAGGGGATGCGTCCTCGACAGATCTAAAAAACTGCACTGAGCGCTCTGCCTCGCTCGGCCTGCACTTAAATATGCGGCGATCATCGGGCATCACTTTAATCAGCAGATGCAAAGTGCAGTTGCAATTTTACCTATAGTGTTTATGCAAGTGCGACGAGTCTGATTGCAATTATCACCCACTTACATTGTCAGCTGTGGTGTATCCAGGGCATCTACAGCTAAGGAGAATCAAATGCAAATTGAATACAGCTTAAAGCAAACAGAAAGAAAATCAATATTTATAACGAGTATCTAGTTGATAAATATTTAATTATATATTTTAATAAATAAATTATATGTATATATAATTTATATAAATATAGGAAATATTTCAATATTTATATTAATATTTTTGATGAAAATTTTATATATTGTGGACTCTGTCCTCTAGCTTAAAGTTCGCTAAAAAAAAATATAAGGAGAGTAATAAATCTGTAAACAATTTTTTTTTTTACAGATTCTTAAGCTGCTATATTATTATTTTAATAATATTTTGTCCATGTGTAAAAAGAGTATTAAACAATTTACAGTTTCCTGATTTATTATATTTATTTTCATTTATTTCATTTATTTTATTTTATTTATTTTTGGATTTGCTGATTTGATTGATCATTTTGCTCTCCGCTTAAAGGCTACGTCAATGAACAGCATATGAAGCATATTAGCTCATAGATGTTTGTCTGAGTGTTTTATTGATAAGGGGGCGCTACAAACCTACTCAGCCTAACAAAATTCTAAATTCGGGCTATAATGAAACACAGGCAGATGATGCCGTAACGGATTTATATTAGCCAATAACAAATATAAACTATGTATATTTTGATATTTTATACGCAATTTTATTCCGACAAATTCTTTAATATAAACATACAATATTTCTCTATATGTATATTTTGCAATCTTGTCAATTCTTTCAATATAAAATATATGTATTTGTGTATTGAAAACCATTTGAAAAGTCTTTGATAAACATTGC